TGAATCATTTGACTTAGCTCTATCTTGATCACGCTCCGATTTTGAAAGTATCTTGTCTTCTTGATGATGTTCATATTTAGCCTTAAGCACCTCTGTTACACAGTCACTCTCCGACATTCTCTTTTCCTCTTCACACAGATCGCATCGATCCTTTTTTGGTACATGAAATGCTAAATTAAATTCCTTGTTGAAAATATTTCTATACATACTGGCTTTAAGACACTTTCTGTTAGAATGTCTACATTTCTCTTGGTACATTTCGAACATCTTTGTTAAAGAAAGTCCACTTTCCAAATATTGTTTAGTTGAACTTGCCCTGCAATAATGTGACGGAACCTTTTGAAATGAATTAATGTGATCTTTAATATAATCAATATCTTCCTGTGGCGTTTTTCGTTTCGTGCCTTTTCCTCTCAGATCATCAAAACACGCACCATTATTCTTTTCTATCTTATTATAAAAATATTCAATTCTTTTATCACTTATCTGTAATGTTGATAAATAGAATTGTTTGCAAACTCTAATCTTTTCAGAGGTAATACTATCATTCTTCATAAAATAATACTTATACGTAAAATTTCGTCTTGAATTTTCTACTTTTGTTTTTGTTTCAGCTTTTGTACACTTCTCAGTAGATGCAGCATAAAATGTATTCTTTTCGTTATCAGATCGGTTCCAAAAATGTTTGTGAATGCTAACAACATCTGAATTGCTAAAATGCAATGCACACTTATAGCGACACTTACCATTGCAATCTTTAGTAAATTTTAATTCTTTTTTGTGTACTAACTTTCCTAGTGAATCAGTATACTCTTCTCCAGCCTGCCTTCTGCGTTTTCGAATTTCCTTTTTCCAGGTGCATTTGTCTCTGAACTTTCTCCTTCCCCGCTTTTGCTGCTCTTGTGCAACTGATTCATTTATTTGCATTTCAGTATCACATTCTTCTACTGAGTCTGTAACATCATTTTGTACCGGTATACCTTCCTGATTAATCATGTTACTACATTCATTAATTTGATCTGCGTTTGGTTGATTGGTATTAATGTTGTTGTTTTGGTCAGCTACAGTTTGAAGTGTGCAATTGACCTCTTTATTTGAATTTTCTAGTGGCTGGGCTTGTGGTATGCTTTCAAGTTCCTCAAGGAATGAACCATTATGGAAATTTTCATCAACAACATGAATTTCAAGTTCAACCATTTCCCCAGAATATTCTGAATCATTTAATTGTATAGCACCTGATTGAGGATTTATACACATATTTTCTTGCAGTGATTCAAAATAGTTTTGATTTATGTCATTGTCTATGTTCCTATCTTCAGAAATATCAATGCTACTTTCCAAAGTGTTGTTATCTACATCATCTATTCCATAGTGATTATAATTACTAGCTTCATAGTCATCATCTAGTTCTGACAATATAGCAACTGCCTCACTTAAACTAAATTTGTGCTTACTCATTATAAACTTTAAATGAGGTATCAAGGTAATTTTCAAGGATACGCAGTTTAAATTCCTCTTTGCTGATATCTTGTTTCAAAGAAAGATGGAAGTAAACAAGATGACCTATCGTGTCTGTAAGGATATTTTCGCAGCTTTCAATATCTAACAATACTCCGGAAACATCTATTACAACTAAAGGTTTATTGTATGTCACAATTTTAAGATGCTCTTGTGAAATGTTTGTAAAAGACAACCATAACTGAGTAAGCTTGGTGCAATTCTTCAGAACAAGAAAATCATCACTGACAAGTAGTTTACATTCACATAATTGTACAAGTTCTAAATTTGGTGCATCACATAAAAAGCTTAGTGTTGACACTGGTGCAGCACTTAGATTTAAATACCACAATTTACTTCCCTGGAAATATTTTGTAAAGACGTAATCAAGCTCAGGAACAGTGCAAAGGTATGAAGCATATGGTAGTAAAAATTGACAAAAACTGTTTGAATGTGTTAGAATGGTTTCCAGGTCCTGCTTCTTTACTGTAACAGCATGATTAAGATCAAATTTTTGCCAGAGCCTAGAAGCTGCTTTTATGATATTGTTGAACGTCTTGCATGTACGGTTGACTTTAAGTAATAGGTCATGAAGTTCAATGTCATCAAATATTTTTACAATTAGCTCTGTTGGCAGATCAAGTAAGTTGGACCTGTTATGAAAATAAAGGGTATGAATTAAATCTGAAAAGTTGTTATTTGAAAGTGCAGCATTATTACAATAAACAAGAAGTAAACACCATTTAATAATATCAGTTAATGAGTGGTAATGCTATATGTAATGAAATCGTATCACTAAGCACCAGCACTGTAATTCTGTTTTTATACAGTGATAAAATACCTCTGTAATACTATGCAAAGCCTGATTGTGCGTATTTTTATCTGAATATGTACAAAGTAACGTTTATCAATCAAACATATAATAAGATATAAACAGTTGTCACTTGTGAATATTGAAAGTTTCGAAAGTTTTATCCGATATTCATGCTATCCGAATTTCGTAACACACCACGTGCTTTGAATTTGGCACAATGGGTAATAGTAGATATTATTCGTATTGAAAGTTTGAAAAAGCACTTAGAAATACGGAGTCTTAAATAATAAGACACCATTTAAAGCAAAACACTTACATGATATTAGGCAGGATAAAACTTCAAAATAAATTGTTTACAACATGAAAAATCCGCCATTTTGTCAAGAAAGCAACACGTGACCATAATCTTAAAATACTATTGGTTCAGAAGTTACGATATTATGGACGTTACTTTTATCACAATTTTTGGACTTACAGCACTCTGACCCATTCAATATATCGCTACAGGTAAGAACCAGAGTGATGCTGTTCTTACCATAAGATAGAGCAAAAAATTACGAACATTTTGATACCAAACACTCATTTTTTCCAAAATTGGAGTTACGACACTATGGAATTAGAGCGACGAAATGTAACAAGTTCAAAGGTTTCAGTCAAAGTCTTCATAAATGATACTGAGTAATTCCTTGACCAATACTGTGTCAAACGGCCTTATTGTAACATATAAACACATTGGAAGAAGGACATAAAAAGTCAACATTTACTTTCAGGTAATTAATCGGGTATTAGAGGTATAAAACAGGTGTAGCAGTAGGCATTAATCAACTAACGGTAAGCATTCACAGTCGCTGTAAGCATTAAGCAGTTTAAAGTAAGCAGTTGACAGAAGGCAGTTGACAGTAAGCAGTTGACAGTAGGCAGTTGACAGTAAACAGTAGGCTGTCGTTTATGGAATTCCGTACTCAAGTGTTATGACGGGTGACAAAAATCCGAAATTCAAACACCCTGTTTACATAGTAATCTTTATCTGTGATGTTAATCAAACACTTCGGTTCCAGATCCCGTTAAAACAACAGAAAATAAAAGTGATGACACCAATATCCGGGCTACTGATCATAAACAATGGTAGAATGTCAGTTCTGTTAATTCGGACTATATACATTCTGTTAATTCCGGTATTATTTTAGCAAGTATCCCTTTTCTTTGACACATTTCCTGACAAGAGTTCGCGAATCTGTTAACGGATTTCGGATGAAAAACCGACAAATAACAAATTTGAAATTCATTAATCCCGGAAGACTTCTGTACAAAAGAAGACCGTCTCTCAAAACACCGGATTTAAGGCTACTTCAACAGGGGTGTCCCTTTAAACCTCTATATTCCTTTTTACAGCAACTTCTTCATTTTTTTAATTTTTTTTTTGAGAAATATTAGATTTGCACTCAAAATGCCAACAATTTACTAAATTTCATTTTTTTTCCTTCAAAGAAGGCCCTCCGTTAAAAAACAGTATTTAACTAAGAAATTATTTTCACAGACAACAACAACGAAATGTAAAAATATCTTGGAAAGCAGCTGTTCAATCAAATAATCTGACAGCGTGTTATTAGGCAATCTTGAAAATTGATTTCAGGTAATCAAAGTTATTGAAAAGTTATCGCTGTTTAAATTGTGTGTAATTTAGATAACTATCTCCGAAATATAAACTTTCTGACACTTTTGGCGTGTTTGTTGTGGCTATAGTGTTTATGGTATTTCAGAAAAAATGGTGATGGCATTTCAAAGACACGTTACAGTTTATTCTTTGTATTTCAATAATTAGCCTCAGAAAAACGAAAACAACACACACAAAATGGAAGAAAGGAAGAAAAAAACATCTGGTGCGCATATCCCAATACCAGATCAGGAACAAATGTTCTTTCTTTTTTTTCTTTCTTTCTCTTTTTCCCCAAATGTAAATAGTAAATGATAATTTTAGAGAAAAAAATAAAGTCTATGAAAACCAACACTAGGAACACTAAATTTCAAAATGGTCACAAGATCAAAAGAAAACCAGACTTTATGAAAGCTATATTCTGTCAGAGACTTAGAATTATAGCTTTGTCATTCTATCATAGAATTTTAATTTAACCCCAAACTTTATTTTGAATTTACAGATTTAACGCATTGTTTTTTCTAAAAAGGCCTTATTATTATTTAATTTTCATAAGTCTTTTTTTCTTTCAGTATTTTTTTAAAAATCGTTATTAGTTACACTTCATTAAATAGGATAGGTTTATTTTATGATTTTTCGCATAAATTTGTTATTAACAATATATCTGCATGAATTTGATTTATCAATATTTAACAAGGTTCTTTATCAGAAATCAATACATTTGAATTTAAAAGCTTTTGTGGGATTTCAAATTCTGTGAGAATATCGCGTATCCGAGGTATTCCGGTATCGGGAACAGCTGGTCGTCGCTAAGCTCCTCCTACCGTTATATTAATAACACAATAAGCGTGCCGAGCACGCGACTGTCTCGCGACGACGATCATTGGCTGAAATGACAATTATGGATGAATGGTTCCCAATGCTTTAACGGGATGTTACCACCTTTCGCTTTGTTTGCGATCAATCTGTCGCGCACTGGTTCCCACCATCTATTGTCTGTTTAACCGTTATAAAAACCGTTACAGAAAAAAATTCATACATCACATTTCGGTTACTGGAGCAGATTGCAGATTCTGAAATTATGACAGTATTAAATATTTCTGTGAAAATATACTTTATTTAAACATTTATACAGAATGCTGTAACATAACCGTTCGTTAAGAGTGCGCACTTAAGGCTGACGCATAAACATTAGCATATATGGATTTTCGTAGTTATAATAAATGCACGGACTATTCCATTCTGTGACATGGAAATGTTACTGCGCATGAACAGTATTGACTGGAATCATAATCACGGAGAAGAACAAATAAGATTGGAGGAATAATCAATAAGTTGACATTTAGATTCAGCGTTCTTTGTGAGAGAATATTGAACGCCGGATCACCATGGTTCACCATCATACCGACCTGATGTCACTAATGCTACAGGGCTGCGACGATTATTGGGCATGGAACAAAAAGGATAAATCACACGAGGTGAAACTAACAGGTACCAGACAACAAACTGCCCATTTTCATCCAAAATGGTCGAACGGCACGGCTGGCGTCCGTGGCACCCGGTGCTTAAACTACGGAACACATTATTGGGAGGTTAGAGTTTCACAGAGACTGTTTGGAACAAGCATGATGTTCGGGGTCGGTACAAAACACGCTAGGCTTCACGTTGACGCTTTTGTAAATTTAGTAGGTGAAGATGAACAAAGTTGGGGTATTTCACATAAAGGAACTGCGTGGCACAACGGAAAAGGTCGTAATTTCACAAAGCCATTTCACGAAAACGAAGCAACAACCGTCGGGATATTGTTCGACTGGTCTAAAGGAACACTGTCGTACTTCAAAGATGGCGAACCGTTAGGTGTGGCATTTTCTGGATTGAACCGTGTTAATCAAGAACTATACCCAATCGTGTGCTCAACGGCTGCTAAAACGGAAATGACACTTGGTCGACGCCGGCGGATGTACCATAACTTACAGGATCGTTGTCGGGCAGCCATCGTGTCAAAATTAAAGGAGGAAAAGCAGATAGACTCACTTCCATTACCTAATAGAATGAGAACGTTTTTGAAAGACACTCTTCGGTGATAGAGGAAGAAAGAAGTAAGTGCTCGGACAAATGTAGCTGTGTTCTAAGGGAATATGTGCAAGTGAAAAATACTGTGCAATTCTTTTTTTCTTAAAGTATTACTTGTAAAATCTTAGTGTTTTAATTTTAATTGAGTATTTTTGTCTAATTGTTATCAAAATGAAATAATTCTTTTTCACTTTTTGTACATTTTTTGTATACTAATGTCTTTCATCGGCGTGACTGAAAGGTAACTCCGGCTTTCATAAATTTTTGATATTATAATGTTTCTAGTTCTTGTTTGACAACTTATTAATGATTTTTTTTCTTTAATTATATCATTTACCAAAGACAATTGATAAAATAAATTTAAATCTCTGCAAATCATATACCTTTTAAATATGAAATTATATTCTAAACAGGCATGAATGATTTTTAAAAAAAATTATATTATTATCACTTTTCTAGAGAAAAAAAGAATTCCTGGGTTTAGGCCCTTTGCGAATCGTTCCAATATTAACGGTTAATTCAAATTTTTCGATTTTCCTATCAGCTGTGATTCTTTGTTTCTTTATGTCAAAATTTCACAAAAACCGTTGCCTTGTATTCGGATCGATACAAAATTATTCACTGCTCAGCTGTCAGGCTTCCGTTCTGCGGCAGACGATCAATAGCAAATTGTTGTCTGCTACAAAAGTCGCTATTGATTCCGAGTACAACACCTGGTTTATTTGGTATTGTCTCGCTGACAAATTAAAGCAAAGTTTCTGAAAGCAATATGGCATGTAATTGTATTGATAATAAATAAACAAAATTGTCTCAGCATTGTTTAACAATATTTTTAAATAAAATTTAAATTTGTTATTTGAATTGTAATTGATGCATTAGATACCTTAAAAATCTAAGAAATATAAAATGTCACTTAACCTTTATATTGATACATAATTATAGTTTTTTATTTAATTAAAAAATCTGATATATCAATTCATAAATGCACATCGTTTAATAATTTATTTACAATTTAATTGTTGTGTTAATATGTAGCTTAGTCTGTAGTAAATGTGAGCGGTCATGACAAAATGGCAACAAACGCCAAAAACGTCACTTTAATAATTTTTAATTACATTTATATTCAACTTATTCAAATACTAAAAAATTTATGAATATTTATGTTCTGAAAAATCTCTGATAAATGCATGTCCATTTTGCCGTGACATCGCTCTTTTTGTATGTTAGACAAATCCGTGTGAATGTGTTTTATTTATCGTATGCCCGGACAAAAATAATACATATTTATTATTCCGTCCGCAAGGATGAGGTTTTCTAGTCAAAAAAACTTATCTTATTTGTAAATACATGTACAGTTTAGTGTTTGTAGATATTTTGTACATTGTTTTATAAAGTATAAACTAATCATTGCCAAAATGATGAAACTTTCTTACCACAGCAAAGGTGCTCCATTTTTGTCTTATACATTGCTTTTATAAATTACAAAAGTAATTTTTTTAAATCATTATTCAAACAGCTATTTTTGTTGCTCAAAATACAACATATTTTAGTTCATAGTTTATTTCCTAGATCCAAGAGTAGTTTCTGTATATATTTTTTTCAATGTTCTAATTCCTTTAATAACATTTTAGTGAAATCACTACTATTTGAGCAGTTATATCTAACTCAATTTAAAGCATTTTACAAATATAAAATTATGTATGTTTTGTAAATAATGTAGAAATTATACTACCATGACTACATATTCATCAAGAAACGTTAACATCCGTTAAAATCATTATAAAAATAACCTTAATTTAAGTCATTATTATAAAAATAACCTTAATTTAAGCCATTATTATAAATGTACTGGAACCTTTAATTACAATTGAACATTGTCTGAAAATGCGGAATGCTTTTATTTTTTTCATAAATATAACATTTAACAATTCTACTTCTGAGTATTTCCACAGAGATAGAGAAAAAAATGAATAAACTTCATTAAAAAAAGAAATGTAAAGTCGATAAATCATAGTTTTAAAATATTTTTAAGAAAAGGAGGAAGGAAATAGGGACGTAATCATGATACTGTATATACTTGTGTAATTAATGTAAATATTGATATAGTTATTTATTTTCGTATTTATTCATGACAAAAGGTTAACGGGCCGGACCGTGCAATATCAGCAACACTTAACGTGGAGCTTGTACATAAACTTGTAGCTTAGTAGGAAACGTAGTTTAGCCGCATTCATTCATTCATTCATTCATTCATTCATTCATTCATTCATTCATTCATTCATTTCTTAATTAATTCATTCATTCATTCATAAATAAATAAATTCATTCATTTCATTCATTTTATTCATTCATTCATTCATTTCTTAATTCATTCCTTAATTTCAATTCATTCATTCATTCTTTCATTCATTAATAAATAAATTAATTCATTCATTCATTCCATTTCATTCATTCATTCATTCATTCATTCATTCATTCATTCATTCATTCATTCATTCATTCATTCATTCATTTCAATTCATTCATTTCATTTTTCATTTCATTCATTTCATTTCATTCATTATTCATTTCATTTCATTTCATTCATTCCGTTCTAAACAGCAGACGACAGCTGTGCAGTCGGAGATACGAATCTCAGATATTGATAATTTCGTGTGTTATGTAAATATTGAATTATTTCTAAACATTCGTAAAGTAGAAATATAACACATAGAGTTGTTATAAGCTTTTTTTTGTCATTTTATTCGGAACACATCATTACTTCACCGAAGTATGGCGGAAGTTACCGAAATTTTGCAATCGATATTTATTTTTTAGAAAACGAATTTGTCTAGTTGTACATTTTTCATCATGAATATGATAAGATTAGAATAGTTATTCTTGAAACTTATATGCCATGCACTATTTATTTGTTTATTTATATACCTTTTTTGTATTTAATTGCATGATAATTAGATATGACGTCATTATGGGAGGACGTATCTGTCTCTTATATTGTTATCAGTTATATAAACATTACATGACACGGACATTGAATTCCATTCTTTCACGGATTCAGAAATCACTTTTGTACATACATTGCTTTTATTTATGTCTTTATTAGAATATTCTTCAGCCCCTATTCAAATTACTTCTATAGTTAACATTTCATAGCAAGATTCAAAGAAATTCTACAATTTTCTCAATGATTTTGTATAAAAAAAGAAAGAAGAACACATCCGAAAGCTTTTTTTAAATTTTAACATATTTTATCTATGTGTTTTTCTTCTTTTAAAAAGAAAATAATCCTTAAATTTTGTATCTTTAAAAATATGTATTTAGTGCTTAAAATGTGTATGGAATTGGAAATGAATATATGTGGATAATTTATAAGATTGAATGGGACGTATGATTCAATTTATTTATTTGTAAATAATAATAATTAACTTGTCGGGAATATATGGTCAGTCGTATGTTTAATGTTGAAAGAGTGGTTGATTGTTTTATATGTAGAGAGAACATGTTCTGGAATGTTTTGTATGTATACTAATGTATAAAATTGCTTTGTGAAAATGAACAAATTATGTTGATGTACTGATTAATTACGCGAGTAAATGAACAAAATGAAAATAAAAATATCTTCAAACTGTATATGTTTTGCTTTTCTTACTCATATTAAGTTTTCAATTAAACTTTCCTGATCTCAGATAAATCGATCGCCATTGCAATATTTCCAAGTTCCGCTTTTTAAAAAATCATTTCGACTGGAAGATAGAATTCATTTGAATGTTCATTCATAATTATACAGAGAATTCTATTTCTTCATTAACTGTTGTTAAAGTCTACGGACCCAAGAATTTCGAGCTTCTTGCTTTCTGCTCATTTAAATATATTTGATAACATGAAAGTTTAAACAAATATTGTAAATTTGTAAAATACAAGCTTATGGAGATCAGCTGCAGAACTATTCGTTCGAGCATTAGGGATAGGTCCCTAACTTTCGCCAGAAGAAACTTCATAATATCTAGTACCAGGCTGCTTGAAAAACTCAAGTGTCGACATAGTGATCTTCCCTTTGTACTTAAGTTTAAACGACGATTCCATCGTAACAATAAAATCTGGAAAAAACGAATCGTCATATTCAGAAAACTACCAATCAATTCATATTTCCGTTAAATAATGAAAAAGAACATTATAAAAATCAAATTTGTTTGTAAATGACAGTTTTGAAAGCTCAAAATTGATATTCTTTGTTGTTACATTTTCTTTTTGGTCCAACATGAGAGGATTTTATCTACATATTTTTTATATAAGTGTTAAGATTGTTGACATAAATCCACTGCCCCCTCACCGCTGTAGGTTCGAATCCCATCAGGGACTTTGGATTCTTTCACGTGAGGAAGCTATCCACCTAGCTAACGGACCTCTGGATGTTCTATTCAACTGAAATAATGCATGGAGGGGCACATGAGGCCTTTCTCCACCAGTAAAGATTGAAAGTCGGTAAATGACATATTCTGTGTTGTAATTGCGACATGAAACCCAATGGAACTTTACAATATTTTTAAGTTTTAATAAGTACTGGTTTTATTATTGGAAATATACCCTTTTTCTGATCTGGACAACGTGGATTTTATAACTAAAATAGAGTTTCTCTACAATTAAACTTTACTTATCATAATAATAAAACATTTCGACATATCTATATAAACATGTTTAGTTTTAACATTAGATAATGAACACAGATTTTGATATATCTACATAAATACATGAAACATTGACTCGGAACGGCAAAAATAACAAATCAGTAGCACACAATATTCCAAGTAAAAGTTTATAAATACATTTTGGCGGTTTTTGAACTTTGTTTTTGAACTTTTCCAACGATAATATATTAAATTGTTATATTTTAAGATAAGAAAGCTTTCACTAAACTATTGGCCATTATACATGTTTATATATGTATGTTGTCATGGAAAATCACATCCACCTCTACTAGCTGTATAGATTACATAACACGACCACCTTGTCATCAAACAGCCACAGGTGCAACAGCTGCCGACAGACTGTGCAAAAAGTCCACATTCGTACTTATCTGACACTTCGAAACCACAATAACTGAGTGTCTTAATTTGATAATTGTTAGACAACAATGTATATTTAAAAATCTAGAAACTAGGTCTTAATATTCAACTTTTCTTCTCCATTAAGTTAACAACATCGTACAGATCGTTTCTTCGTATATTATCCAGTGGCATTCTTCGGCGAATTTCTTTGATGAGATCTAAATCTGAAATTGTATCAATCACATTTGATATTCAAAATAACATAGGAGAAAAATAATTTAAAAAAATGATATTCAAGTACACAGGTTATATAATGGTCTATTATAAATTTATAATACTGCACGTTTTTAACGTCACTTTTCATTGGATAATCGTGACGTATATACGTATAATATATCTGCTGTCGATTTATGTAGTAATTTCATTTTATGCATATCAAAATCGCACCGTCCGTCCATCTGTCTGTCTGTCTGTGCGTCCCCACTTACACAACATTCGTGTTCGGACTGTTAATTGTCATGCATCGAGGATTTTAATGTAACTTGGCACAAATGTCTACCACATCAAGACGACGTGTCGCGTCTCACTTCCTAAAAGGTCATGGCCACACTTAGAGATCCTGTTACACAATTTTTTATGGTTTTATATCATAAATATGATGCTCAAATTAAGATTCATCAATTTTGTATCTTCCAAAAAGCATTATTTATAAAGATATTACTGAATTTAACATTTCATGTAAATAAAGGGAGGTAATAAAAAACCATTTTCTAAAAAGTCTACGCCAAATTTTTCAATAAGAAAGGAATGCATATATTTTAATGATTACATAATTATAATTTGTACAAATATTTGCAGTACATATTTTACATATTTTTTGATGTTTGAAAACTGTTTTATATGAATAATTACATTACATACATGTATATATAATTTCACTTAAGTGTGGTATACAACCTCAATTACAATCAAGGTTGAAGGCGGACTAGAACTTTGTCATGCATTGAAGGATTTTGAAATTACTTGGCACAAAGGTCTACCACATCAAGACGACGTGTCGCGTGCCAGACCCATGTCCCTACCTCCAAGGTCAAAGTTTACTATGAACAGCACTTCATTTCATGAGAACAATATTAAGAAATAAGTTACTTTTATTCTCGTTTCTTTTCATAATACTTTCCTGCAATACTTACGAAATCTTTCGGGCATCCTTCACTTTTGCGTGACAGCTCTTGTTTCTCTGGCAGAATTATAAATTCGATATAAAGATTTTGACAGGTTATATGGCCGTACATAAACAGTAATTTGCATTATAATTAACCCTCGCATATTGCCTCGGGTTATATATACAAACAACCGTGTATATACGGTCATATAACTTGTCAGACAATCTTAACAATAATATAAAAAAGCTGAGGAATAAAATTCCAGTGAGGCTAATTTGTATGCAAGTCTAATAAAGTTACGTATAATTTTTAAGCGAAAAGAACAATAGGAAAAAGAGTTCTAGTATTTTCCCATAGTACTCATTGTAAAATAACTTATAAATACTGGAACAATATGCTTAAGTTTGATGAGATAATATGAAAATAATATTTTACCAATGTCAGCATATACAATGTCCTCGTCTGCACCTGTTTTGGCAATTATGTTACCCCTGAAATAGAGAAAATACCTGAAGGTCCTAGGATGCATCCTGCATTAAAGTGAACATTCCGTTTACCAGAGCACAGTTCAGACACCATATGGTTCCTGGGCCGGCTGTCAAGCAGTTTACCTTCACTTTTGCAAGGAACTGATAACTTCCGTACATGCCAGAGTAGAGGTACAGTGTGAATGACCGTAGAAAGGATTTCATGATCAATCACAACGAACGTGACCTGCACCGTCCAGAAATCGAACCAGCAGGATCGCCCGATTCACAGTCCAACGCTCGAAATTGTTCGAGATTTGACGTAGAGCAACACAAACTTCCATCTTTGATGCGTTATTAATTATACAGTTATTAGATACAGAAAGTGGAGAGGTTTGTTGAATACACCCAAAATGATTAAAATTACCAACACAATTTAGATATTGTAATACATATCTATATCTATTGAGAATAATTGAAATAATTAATTATAATACTGATGATGCTTTAAATAGTATAGGACGATTCGGGTGTTATAGTAATAACTTAAGTTTCATAAAAGATGTATTTGACAAAGTCGGACTTTGTATACACGTATACACGTGCTAGCAAATGAACAGGATGTATTGTCTTGCAAATACAGCAAAATAAAAAAAAAAGTCATTCATTGTTTTACTATCCGGTATGTTCTCCTGTTACTAACCCTTGTTTTTTTACTTAAAGTCACATTTTGATAATTGAGACAGGAATTTAAAAGAGTCTATCGTCTTGATTTTGTTGCTATACAAAATGTAATCAAGTTTGTCTTTGGCAATCAAAGCATTCAAAGTACTAATGGAATGAGAAATATACTTTTTATGACTTTTTATTGTTAGGCTTTACGTTGCACATAGGTCATATGACACCTTACTGGTTGAGGAAGACCTCAGGAACAAACGGGCATCTGAGTAGGGCCATCAATGTTCCGTAAGCTAGCTGGACTGATTCATCACATGACAAAAACCAAAGTCCCTATCGGGATTCGAACCCACAGCAGTGAGTGGTTCGGAGTCAACGACCTTAGCCACTTGATCACGAACGCACCTATTTATGACGTAGTAACCAGGGAAAGAAACTGCTGCGAATAGTTTATATTCCGGTTTAGACAAGTTCTTCTTATAAATGAAATGTCAAAAAAACATTTTTTTGGAAATTTGTCACTTTTCAAATATTGTTTTTCTTTCTGATAAATGTTCTTAAAATTTAATGGCATCGGACTACAATCTTTTTTGTAACACGTATGGTTATTGTGTTTCGTTGGCATATTCAAAAGGAAATGACGACATGAAAATGTGGTTTAGATGTCTTCCAAAAAACGAGGCTTTTTCTAAATAATTATTTACGTACCAAGGATCAGCGACGGCACTGTGTCCATATGTGACGTAAGGAGCGTTGGTATTCGTTGCCGGTCCAACATTGGCCACAAACACTTGATTATCCACAGCTCGAACCCTTTGTAATATCTCCCAGTGATATGGACCTGTCTTCAAGCTAAACCCCTTCCCATGAAAGGGTTCAGAAATTTAAAACCCTAGGAAAAATACAATGAAAAATTAAAAGTTTTTAATTTATGGGGGCAGGTTTGTACTTTGATATGATTTTTAAATACATGTAGTCTTTTACACTGCGAATAGGGTTTCCCCCTTCCCCCAAAAAGGAAGGTTTTAACAAGTTTGAATTGAAATTGGGGCAATAAATAAATTTATTTCGGGAAATTACAGTAACCCGGGGGAATCAACTACGGCCCATTCATGACATTTTCTGTTTTCATTCATTTCGTCCTTTTATCTTGTTCTCATATTGATCCGTAATACAACGTATGTAGCATGTTAAAATATTGATGATTTGATATATCTAATCTTCAAATATAATTTACCGATTATCTCCTTTTTACATTTATTTACCTTTTTTGGCATATAAGCGCGCTACTTCGGGATATCTAAGATCTATGCAAACTCCAAAACCAGTTTTACCATATTCTAAAAAAAAAGAAGAAAAAAAAAGACACATTTCCATTTGATCTCTATAAATTTTATAAATTTGTACATGACTGTGGATTAAATTGTATATTTTGATCATTGATATGTTAAAAGATGAATATTCTGTCATCTTGAATATCTAGGTATAGAATTCTACTATTATCCAACGAACTAATTCCGGCAACCGTGCTCTTACTAGTGAAATGTTTTATTTACAGTGTATATCACAAATGTATCAAGTAATTTATTTGTACAAAAATAAACAATTTAGGATAAACTTGCATTAATTATTTATAGTATAGTATTTAGAACAGTAACAAGGGGACCTCGAATTGAAAATATCATCAGCAAGTTTATTTGGAGTAGCGGAAGATCGAACTTGAAATAAAATCGACTTAAAATCAGTAATTCTACTGAACCAACGGTTATGCATTTAAATATAGTTTTTTTTTTAATATGTAAAAGTCAAAAAGACAATACGACTAGTAAATGATATGACTTCATTATTGTACCTGTGTCAACAGTGGTCAACGAACTTCCGCCTACATTCAACTCGGACTCTGTAATCTTCATTCTCGGACCCAGGTCTACGTCAAACAGATGCATCTGTAATGTACATTAAGGCACATTATGCGCCCGAAACAAATAAATATTTACTTCTTTTGAAAGGTCAAACATGAATTGTATAATGTTTAAATAATTGTTTTAGAAAAATGTTAGATGATTGTTACCTAAAAAGTAGCGATAAATGTGAAAAAAATGTCATAAAAGTAGCAAAATATAAACAAAGTACATGTAGTATTTTGACTTCAACACAAAATACTTATTCACTATAACTGTGCTTATTGCCAATAAGCAACAGATAATAAAAGATGGTTCCGGTAATTGGCAATGAGTAACTTTGGATACTATAAAAGTAAACCAAAATTGAAAAAGCTTTAGAGAAACAAAAATAAAATAAAAGCATTTCTGTGGCATTATGTTGTGTGTAATGTTATAAAATAAAACTTCTAAGGTTTCGGTTTATTTGTGCCTTGATTAATTTTAACTGAAGATATATATAACTTACATTTTACTTTTAAATTACAATAACGCTATCTGTAATCGTTCAGTAATTTTCCGCGAACATAAGCCTGTAGCTCTAACGAATGCATTTTTGAATAACAATTATTAGGGTAAAGTGATCGTAAGTCGGACACATCATTGCTTCTTCCTATATAGATATACTGTATAAATGTTATTTCATCTAAACATCGCAAACCAAATTAAGTAATTCAACTAAAATTACTTCATCTGTAATGACTATTCTACCGAAGTTTTGACTATCGTTTTAAGTAATTTGCTAGTTACATAGTCCTATATAGAGCTATAAATTACTGTAACAGTTATCTTTTCAAAGTTATAAGTATTGCATCAGTAAATATTTTCAGAAAATTTACTAATTTCCCAGTATAACTTTTTGTAAGACGAACCGCCCACCCTTGCCCCCGCCTCGAACAGAAATCTTCTGAGTCGTCCGTGCATGATACATGCAAGATATGTAAGAACTTTAGTTGTCCGTTACATTAAATATTTTCTTATATTTATTACATATTTTATTTACCTTTCTAAATTGCGCCATGAGCTCCCCACGAGGATTATATATCTGACATGTGTTGTACAGTTTGTTTGAACCGGGAATTTCTTCGGGAAACGTTCCTAGTGAAATAAAAATGTTAAAACGTCCTTTTTGTCTTCAAATAATTTTTTCACAACAATATACATGTAATACAAACAGTCGAAAATAAATGAATACAGATACATGTAGTAACACGGAGTTATGACTTTGCACACATTAATTATTCGTTAATTCAGAAAACATGACTGTTTATTAATATGACTGATACAGTCGCTCATAGTATGCATGCCCCAATTTTTTAAATATCTAAAAAAAATGCTCTTAAATCTCAAGATAGCGTTCTTTAAAAACACACGGTTCTTTCGCGGTCCATTCACGTTTTTCTTGCCACTTATGCCGGAAGTGCACTTAGCAGTTGTGTCACGAAGACAAGGTGAACAATTGTCATATGATGGTACAAGTGCATGTGACTTAGAACTCGAAAATGTCACACCATTAAATGTAAATTGTTAAATATCAGGAAAACTCGTGAAATGCGAATATATCTTGATTGTCATTGACATTGCGATTTGTGCATACTGTGGTTTCATAATAAATTCTACCTACCACCGTACAAATATACGTTATTTTCCTTGGCTGTTCTGGCCAACATTTGTGCTGAAGGTCCATCCGGTGGTTCCTTGTACTCAATGAAATAGTCGGGATCCATCCAGCATGTAAAATATTCCTACGAAATAAAAGTCATGTACTTTCTATTTCTTTTAGCTTCTTTTTTTCTCATTTTTGTCCTTTTCAGTAATAAAACACACACCACGGGGGTGCATGCATGTATTTAAATATTTTAATAAAGCACAATACAGCATGTATAATTTTATGAAAATAGCCTGGGACCAAAAATAAATATATTTTTGGTCCCAGAAATAGTTAATAAACGTGTGAGTATTTCAATTGCTATGGTTCGATCACAAGTATATATCTTCTATTTTATATAATAATATAAAGAATGTGTATTGTTAATAATGCATTTTTAGCAAAGAGAATAAAGTGCTAATTCAACCTTGCATTCTAATCAAACGCGCACTTACTGGAAGGGCAACAACTCGAGCACCATTCTTCGCAGCCTCTTTTATGAGTTTCGCCGCTTTTATCAGATTTCTCTCTCTGTACCTCTCAACCGACATCTGGATAAGTGCCATTTTAAATCCTGGAAATGTTTTATAGAAACAAGTATTCTATAATTCGCTTCAAACTATTAAATTGCATGTATGTTCATACTAATTTATTAAGTTATGTTTATCTGTAGTCAAAGGTAAAAGCTTAAATCGCGACATAGTTGATCTACATTGTATTAGCGAATTTCATGCAAATATTTCGCCTGGTCAAAGTGTTAATTTCTCTGACACTGTTGTAGATCACAACTAGCGTAAATTTACATATCTTAACTTGATGACAGTCGACAATTATCGCGAAGAGGCTTAGGGCATTGGCAGAAGATTGTCCGCTGAGCCGGTTGAATCCCAACTTATTTAGTGCTTCAGTACAACACAACTTACATGATACCTTTACTTAATCGGTAAAGTGAGACCAGCTGCTATTAGAGAGCGGCCCTACAACGTAGCCGGGGCAAAGGTGGCGATTGACACTACGATTTGCGAAACAACAAGGAAATGTTCCAGGGTACAGAGATAGGCCATTAGTTATTTCGCAAAACATCACTTATATGTTCTACTAGACCTTACAGAACGCTGAACAATGACCTAGCTACATTTCAGCTCAAAATTAATCTATGTGGCTTATACTCTGAGGAAATTGCACCGAAGTCAATTATCACCGCTTTGTGCTTTAAAATTAAAATACATGTAGCTCGAAAGTTATGTTTTGTGCCTGGGCAGCTGGGTCATCATATTAAGCTTAGATCTTATTTATTCCAATCGTAGCCAGCAAAATTCTATAAAAATAACTTGGTCGTGGTTAGTCTTTAAAGGGAAACAAATAGTAATCAAGAGACTGTAATGACAACATGGCTAATTAGTGCCAAACAAATCGTTCCATTTGCATAATCTAATAATAAATGCCTCCCAACAATTCAATGACAAAGGAATTCCATTAAAAATAACCTGTTGCTATGACAACGAAAAGGACATGATCTGCGATACTATCAAAATGACCATTGTAGAAAAACGAATCGTGATATCTTAGTATATTTCTAATAACAATGTAAATTGTTTTATCCTTCCCTAAGCACAGAGTAATGAATGATGCATACTTCCAGATGAGTAGATTCGTTCATTTTTTCGTAGTTCATCCTTGGATATGAAATACGATTACCCTTTAACCTGCTAAATTTGCCCAGCTTTGAGCTATTGAGAAACAGTCAATGAATTCAGTATTGGAGGGATTTCAACATAAAAAAATCAGCTAGAGAAAGTATAGAGCCTGGTCAGACTGAACACGGATGTCTGGCTTCATTTTTACTGGTGGCAAAAGGTTCAGGCAGAATACAGGATAATGACTTTGACTTACTTTATGATAAGTAGATTTGTTCACATAGTTAATACTCGTTTTGTTTGGTTTGCTTATTTATTTACATGAACGTTGAGATAAGTTTAAGACATTTTATTCATTGACATGATAAAGCGAAATTCCACAACAAACATGTACAAACTTAAAACTTACGTGATGTCATTATTACACAAATGAGTGTATGCCCGTTACACTAGAAACAAGAAATCTCAATATTGTACGATTCCGCAGATATTTCTGAAAAATGAAAAGATATGTTAAGTGAGAACGATGAAGATTAAGATTCAGAGATTCGGGCAATTTAAACAGGGTCATCTCATAATTAATGTCTAATAAATGTCTAATAAATTAATAAATGTCTATAATTCACACGCACACACACGCATGTGCGCACGCACGCATGCACACAAAAACAACAGCAAATAGAACTAAACGATATGTCAATGTTTGTTTAGATAAAACATACAATTACATATCACTCTAACTCAATGTATAGAACTATATCCTCTTTTTGGGAAATTTGGACACAATAAGAATAAAGCATTGAAATGAATTCATAAAGGAATTTAAAATAAACGATGGATTGTCAGCAATAAAAAATGAAATTCACATTGAATCCACATGTATAAAACACTATATATCAAGTAATTATACTTGTCACAGAGACATCCAGAGAATTTAGCCTGGTGGTGTCATTCTTTGGCAGTAGGAGAAAAAAAGTTTGACAAGCGGGACAAAATGTTCACGCCATATTAATTTATCACTACAACCGAGAGCTCAGATTATTATTCTCGTCTGATTCAATAAAATCCATAAACGACAATTTAAGAACTTGAATTCATTCTCAAAAACAAAACAAAAACAAATTACATGTCAATATCAGTTTGTGCTATATCCGTTATACGAGGAAAATATAACATTGTGAAACGATAGAAGTACAAAGTTGTTATGATAAAACAGCTTACATAGGAAATCGCCCAGTGACTTATGACCGAGATTATTATGTTAGTAAAGTACATGTACATGTACAGATAGACTTCTTATCGTTTTCAACACTAAAATGACCAAAGGTGTAGAAATGTATAATTTTTGTCCTAGTTTAAAGTTAGGTACATTATAGAGCGCTTACATCTGTATAAAAACAATATAGCAATTCTTAAATATATTAAACCTCTCTAGCGCAACACCTCTCTGAAACGACCAAAATGTTTGTCTCCCAAAGGTGGTTGCCCTGTACAGGTTGTACTGTAACTAAACCGACATCAACCAGCTTCACCAGTGTCCTGTCTGTGAACCTTTGTTACGTTGCCATGGAGAAATCACAGTAAAATTGAAGACATGATTAGCATTGTAAATTGCGAAAACCTGCGGCGATTTCTATTCAAAGCTGTTTTTCTCGCTCTTCAATGAACCGGGTTGTTTATTTGAATATAGTTATTATAAACATCAAACTTAAAAGTACACCACTGTGGTTTTTGACATAAATGGACTTGAAGTATTTTGCGGTTTGGTGGAGGTATTTACCAAAAAAAAATATCATTTTCTCACTCCTTTTTTCCAGAAAAAATATAATTTTTGTTGTGCAAAATAACAAAAAGTGAAAAACGTTTAAACACATTTAACACAAATTATACTAAAAATCGCAAAACAATATCGATTTTCAATAGAATTCTTATATATTTTTATCCCCCGCCGATGGAATCGAAAGGTGGATATTGTTTTGGCGTTGTCCGTCCGTTCGAATTTCGTTTCCGTGCTAATTCTCTGCAACTACTGGCTGAAATTCGTCGCCTTGTTCCAGCCCTTGATTATGCATATAGAACAATACTAGTAATCGTTTCCTGCTATTTCTCTGCAACTACTGGCTGGAACTCAACGAAACTTTATGGGAACCTTTAATACCAAGACAAGATGCGCATATCGTCGCCTTGTTCCGGTCACAATCTTCAACACAGACTTGTGGCCCTTGTATAGTTATGTAGTATGCATATAGAGCAATATTGCTATTTCTCTGCAACTGCTGAATTGATTTCAACAAAACTTTATGACAAAAAGGCAATTTGCATCTCATTGGCATGTCCAGATAATACTATTTAACACTGATTTTTGCCTCTGTTACAGCCCTGAATTGTATATAAAGCCTTGTCTCCAAAATTGTTGTGTTAGTAACAACTCGACGGGGGGATATAATTTCAACGAATTTGCTTGTTTTTTGTTGTTTTTTTTTGTTTGTTTTTTTTTTCGCATATGTTTCCGTTTAGAGTAAACCAGTTGAGCTAAATAAGGATTTTGGACCTCTATTAGTGGAACTCCTTTTATACCATTTCAACACAGTTGTCATCACGTTTACAGTAATCACTCATATTTTAAACTGATTTTTGCATTGCATGCATTGGGATGAATACTTAATCATTCGAATCATTTTTTATATCAAAGAACACAATAATCTTGGAAGCATTTGCACAGTTTTGTTGCTTTGGAACACACGACAAAATCAGAAACAAAAACATAATTTCAGCATTGTAAGATTAAGTCTTAGAAAAGTTTGTATCTTAATTCATACATAAACATAAATGAATCATGTAAATTAATATATCAAAATGTTTATTCATACAAATCATGTGGCATTGCAATGCCAGGAAAGATAAACATAACACTGTTGAGCAACATCATTTTATAGGACTGTATATAATTATACATATATATTGTTATGTCCAGATTATCAGAAACAAATTTGAAGTAAGCTTATTGAGAGTACTTGTATCTGAACAGGCATCTATTGAAACGATTAAACACAGCCGTATTGTTAGAAAATAACGAATCAAAACAACTCCCACCCCCCTCCCCAAACAAAAATAAACAAAACAAAAATAAAAAAACAACAATAAAAAAACAAATAAACAAGAATTAAAGCTTACCGTACGTTGTATCACATCAAATATCCGAAATGAATACGACTGAGTAAGTTTTCATTCCATCTAAGTTCATCATATAAGAGGTTCTCTATCAAACTCTGGCATGTCTGTATTTATCTATCGTTATTCACCTGTTGCTCTGACTCTGACATTTCAAGCAAAGCGAGAAAAGATTATTCCGAAGAAATCTGTCAGTAGTTCCAGGTTTCCCTCAAGACATCGATATTTGAGAAGTGTTTGTCCTCCATGTAATGAAAGTGTCTAGCGCAGAATCACTGACACTGTTATATTGGTATTCCAGATTATTTTCAGACACTTGATGCTTCTTAAAGCATTTCAAGAAATCTGATAATTAAATTTTCTGTGCTGCTAAGATAGTGTTTTTTTTTTTTTTTTTTTTTGAAAGTTACTTTCTTCGCAGTGGGAGCGATTTTTAAGTCTGACGTCTTATTTATACATGATATAAAATTATATTTTCATATAGTTTATCCATTAATTTGGTGAAATTTTGAACAGGACATTTCAAGCTTCCTTATTTAGAGTTTTAGAATATCAAGGTTAAGTTAAGCCAAAGGCATGCACTTCGTGCATGCCTGCTTGATTGGCTAGAAGAATAGAGTAACTGGAGTAGAGTAACTGAATAGAGTAACTCGGAGCCGCTCCAATAACAGGTTAAGGGTTGTGATTTCCGTTGTAGGAAATTACAGAAAGCATTGTTGCCTTGGCTAATGTAGTGAAATATTCAATATATAACGTTAACAGAAATTTTATCACAGAATAGAAAATTATCTACATGACGTCAGAGATGACGTGAACAAGACGTGGTGTTTCCTAAAACGCGCTAATCAGGTTTTCTCGTCTGTGTTATAATATAATTGTTATGTCCCAGGTAATGATAATGACCCTATGATATGTGTATATGTCTATATCACGTACATGTGGAGAGGAGGCCATTGAAACTATAAACTTTTAAACAAAAAATTTATATCTTGACTAAATATTCATCTCTCCGAAATAAATAAATTTTTACATATTCGATCCTTTCAACCATTGTGACACTGATGAAATTCGCTCAATACCTGGTTATCCTATAATAAATGGTAGCTGACTATAGTGCAATATTCAATTTTGTTCGTTTCCTGTCCAGTTAAGTAACCTAACTTCTCAACATCGTGAAATCCGTGCGTACAAGTTTCAATACGAAATAGATCTATATTAAGAATTTCAACTAAATCTAATCAATCTTGTAACTTTATTTAATTCATTTGTATTTAGCCAAAAATTATGTTGAAAAGCCCAAGGTTTACAAGAAGTAAGTACTACTATTATTATCATTATTGTTTTCTTTCTTTCATTTTTTTTTTTTTTTTTTGGAGGTGCTCGATTAGAAAAAACAGTTCACTGTTTATTTCAGAATACATCAAACGTATGCGAATATGAAATCGAGGCAACAGGAAATAGAATTTTGATTATCTCCCTTACTGTCAGAATTTGCAACTTGTCAAATTTTAATTGGAAAAGATGAAAATTTAGAAACAACGATGGACAAGGAGACTTTATACGAAAGTCTCTCACTCTGGGTATAATTTTTGATCGATTTTAATTGAATTATGTCAAATATGTATCTCAGACTCTAGGTTTTTGCGTTATGTATCAACAAACGCGAAAAGAAAATGAAATTCATGTCCCAGCAAAAACACAGCTTGGGTCCAGTTGGGAGTATCGGAGACATATTTGAAATTAATATTTAAGATTGCTTAAATTTGAAAGAAGAAGCAGAAGTAACATCAAATATGATGCCATCGTTGACTAAGGACTTGCTAGTGAGTGAATGATATATCATACCTAGTCTTTGTGTCATGCTGTCATGGATATTTCTAGCTTAAGGTCTTCAGCGTACCCGTTTATATACTACTATGACATGACGTGAACGCTGAAGACAGTCTCGTAAGGAAAGTCCACCAATAATATTGCCAGGATTCTGATATGCTCATATTCATTCATCGAAACATGCTATGATCATCATCATGATGATGAAGCATACCTTGATATCTGTTGATAAGCCAAGAATAGACATATAAAAACTTATTGCCAACATAAACTACCTAATAGTTTCCGACAGTTAAAAAAATTCAGCACTTGGTCGCCATATTGCCTAAACGTATAGACCACGTGATTGCGAGATTGACCTTTACAGGTTAATTTGCGCGGACAACCCATGTGCTTCCAACTATATTAAATTACTTTTTTTAAGATATTGAAAAAGGTGATAAACTGAGTTTTGTATTCAATATAATTTTATTTATTTAAAGTTACATTAAATAAATATGTTAGAATATTTTTGCCGGTGGCCTAAAAACCAAGCATTCTACAGTTTCATTAACCTTTTTTACAGTATCGTTGTAAATCTCATCAAATATTGTTCATAAATTAGGATTTTAAATGGAAAACCCCACGGTAACACTAAAGTTCGTATACGAATTTTAACATGCAAATGAAGACTATAATCAGCTCGTGTATGCGCTACGTCACGGAGTTATATTTGCTATCCGGAACACAGCAAATATAAGATTTTCTTGTGCAAATGCACTTTTACCGTTTAAGCTTCACGGTGCACTAGGCCTGTGGTTCAGAAAAAATAATCATCTCATAAAACAGATTAAATTTGCATGAAAATACCCGTTACAATGCGGAAATATACCGTTAAAATAGGACTGCTACTTATAGTCATGTTTGTTGATTTAATATTGATGTACGGATGATCTGAAGGTGGAGTATCTCATGCAAACAGAAATTGTACTTCCGAATTCGCCACAATGAGGTTGCACATTTGTATGCTCATTAAACTCATTTTGGTTGCCTGGACACCAAAATTAGATCTGGAGTCAATATGAAACCCAATTTATTAATGAAATGTCGTTATTTCTTTTTTATGAAATTTATTTAATGTAACTTTAAGTTCTACAAAATTAAAGAAAATAAATAAAAACATAATCTTGAATTATAAATATTGAAATCATGTCAACAACGATGTTCTAAATATAGTTCACGACTCTACTCTAATCGGTTACAGTGAATGACGGCATACCAGGTCTCGCGTAGCTCCTAAATGTCATGGCTGACTGTAGTCGGTGTAATTGATGTTTCACAGTTAAATAGGCAATTTTAATGACTGGGTATTAATGTTTTGATATTTTAAATGGTATAGAACGATAATTAAATAATTGTTTTATCACAAAATGCACAAGAATTAATTTGGACAAGGGTATTTGCAAATGAAAAATAAATTTAAATCAACGTATGCTCATAATTCTGGTTAGGTTTTGTAAAGGGTCTGATCCAAAACTTTAATGCTGCATCAGATGAAAAACAAAAATGTTAAAAAGAGGCTTATAAAGTTTTGGAAGCCAGAACTAGGATATTTCAGAAAATGTGACTTCTTCACTGTATTTCAAGTGTATATCAGTAGCACAAGCAGCCTGTAATATTGTAATATGAATGTAGGCAAAGCCTATCAAAATATGAACAAACTGAGAATCATGGGTTGGGTAAACTGTTCAAGAATCTTGCATGACTCGTTAACCATTTCTTTGACATACTAATATGAAAAAGGGAAAGCCTCAAAGCAATTTTGATTTACCTTTACCGTGAAACAGTATAAAATAATTGTTCATTTTTATTTTACATTTTCTGTTTTAAAACTGTCATTTGGTAATTTATACACTGCTTCTATGTATTCTAGTTAAGTTCCCTACAGCACACACAGGGCTCGAGCTAGTGGGCGATTCGGGCGAAATAGTCGCCGAATTCCGTCTGACTTCGCCGACATTTGACATGAAAGCGAAGACGAAGTCGCCCGATTTTATTGATCCATTATTGAAAATTACCAACAATAACAATAACTGTGAATAACATGTTGTGTATGTTTGCTTTGTTTACCCTCGCCGCCGGAAAAAGGGACTGTCATGCATCACAATCAACGCGAAATGTCATTAATCCGTTTGTTTACCAACATGCCATAAAAGTCTAATTAACAGACGCTCGAGGAACAATTAGACTCCGCCCACGGCGAGATTACCGATACGTGCAAGAAACCAATCGTAATTCACGTTTTAATCGAGGCGACATTATTAAACCAATTATTAAATCGCTAACATACAACTACCTGTAACAATTATTTATGATGGACGGATCAAACGTCAATTAAATTTTCAGTATCGAATGATTGTCTGCTCGACATATAACTGTAACGGTAATTTTAAATGAAAGTTATGATAACCTTTTTTGGCGACGAGTTAAATTTGATAAAATTGACGGCGTATTACACTGTATTTATTACAAATGTAGTTAAATTAAAGATCGTTTCTTTCGTTATCTACTTTCATTTTCTTTACAACATAAGTGAATATGAATATAATGTCCGGCGCAAGCTTTTTAATAGTAAATCAGAAGGGAATAACTGTTAATCCACCCATGATATGATCCATGATAGGAATCAACTATGGCTTTTTTATCTTCATTTAATGCAATGGTTGCATTACATCATACTCATTCTTATTATTACTTGTTTCAAACTACTTTTAAATTAAAATTGAATATTCTGTTGTAACACAAATCCAATTCATTTAATAAGATATGTACAGTGAGTCAACATAATTGCGATAACATACAACAAACATCGATAAATGAATCTCCTCACTTCTCCCTAGAGTCTCCCCACTTAATTCTCCCTAAAGCAGCTGGAGGGAGAAGTGACTTCTCCCTAAATTTTGAACCTAGCTTGAGCCCTGACACAGAGTCTGGGTGCTGTATAGCATATTCAGTCAAATTAAACAAATATCCCCTATGTATTAATATGTAAGATTTGTCAACTTAATATGTTTTTAGACTAAGTACTTAATTTTTCTCCTTTGTTTTTACAGTTGGACACTTTCAACCTTGACTCTCCCCATCAATCCCCAGAACAACTTAGTGATGGCATTGCCATGGCAAAAGTTTTACATCAAATGTAAGTTATTAACATTTCAATTATCTACAATATTAATGAACATATCATGATGGTAACTTAAATCTGGGCTCTAGCAACTAGGCTGTTTGAGCAATTAAATTCTAAGTTTCTTAATGCCCCTGAGTTTGAATATCAAAGTAAAAAAGACCTAGCCAAATATGTTTTAGTCTTAAATTGTGTACTGATGTCTACCTAACACACAGTGCCTATCTAGAATTAAAACATACCTTAAACTTGGTTATAAATTGATAATACGGTCACTGTTGATTCTACAAAACATCATCGTCGGATACCCACGGCCGAACCATTAACATTTATCAGCCGTGGGATTTTTTGCCGATATTCAGTCGATTAGAGGTGTGTCAAAGGCAGCTATTTCATTGGCTGCCTCACGATTTCATGAGGCGATTAAAACCAATCAAAACGCTCGTTCTGTACGACGTTCGGTATTACAGACAATATTGCGACAACCATAGACGACGTGAAAAGTTCAACATCGAAAAATTAAACGATTTCCAGCAAGAAAGTATAGATAATTTACTTTTACAGCGTGATGTTTTCCTTTCTGATTGATATCTGCTTGCAGAAGAACTGATTTGGCGATAGTTTTTGCCATTGATTTTAGCAAGACACGTACAACAGTTTTTAACCGTGGGCGCTGCCATTTTGTTTCTTATTGTTTTTTACCTCCGCTGTTGAAGAATATAGATTTGTTAAACGCGATGTCATTGGTAGATATTTTACGCACCTGTTGCTGTATATCGACGCAAATCGATTCATTTTACCCACGGTTGATTGCATGTTATTTGACATGCTTATCAATTGTGGGTATCCGACGATGCAAAACATGTACATGATAGCTGATTAAATATTGTAAGGGACTTTGAATGTTTATCAACTTATTTACTTTCAGGACCTTATAATGAATATATCAGTTTAAAACAAATAATGTTTTATGACAATTTGAACATCAAACTAGCATAATTTATTGACAAGTGAGGTAATACTGTTCAGTAAATGCTTAAAACTTACCTGCCAGGATTCCTGAACTTTACCTGTCAGGATTCCTGAACTTGCCTCAGCCATTCATATTTGCTAATTTTATTTGTTTAGATAATTTTCTGGTAAATGAAGTAATTAAGACCATGATATAGGACATTCTGAGGCTCTAGGACTATATTAGGCACAATAAGGAGGTTAACACTTTAAGAAATGATAGATTTACTTACTTTGTTTATCCTGGCATCAAAATGGCCGACAAGAGTTGTCTACCTTGATTCAAAACTTTAAATGACTTTATTTTCATAAACATATACAAATACTTACCATTTTACATGTAAGAACATAGAATGTAATCCTTAATTACCTAAGACATATTAAGTTACTTTCCAAATATTTAGCTGGCATTGCTGTATTTCATAATAATGTTGATGACCAGTATGACCTCTAAGTTTGTCAGGAGGGAAAATTCAAATACTTGGCACTTTGAATCTTTTTATATCAATAGTTCATTTTTCTAAGCGATAATCATGATTGTTTTTGGTTCAGATATTAAGTGCATCAAGTTAAGCATGTAATTCAAGTGTTTATTGCATATTTTGTTATTTGTTAACTTTGTTAATTTACATTTTCTAAATTATTCATGTCAATATGGCTGCCATTTTAAGAAATTCCTGTCTCTCCTGCCAGACTGCCAGGGCTAATGGAATGTTATGATTGGTCAATTGTTACAGTACTGGCCATTTCAGCGTCTTTATAAGTAGCCATGACAGGCTGTTTTCAATTTGTATTTTGGCTTTAAATCCTGACAGTCGCGAAAACTAGTGACAAGAGCATTTTGTAATAATTTCCTGGAAACTTCTATTGTTAATCTAGCAAATTTAGTGCTCTTCAGAGTTGAATAAAGAAATTGTGAACTTAACTTTTTATCAATTAAAGTTGTTATTTCAACAGTTTTTGTCTTTGCTTACAATATTGTATTGCTAATTGACCGGTCTGTGTCACTTCTTGATTAGCAAATTTAAAAGGTTTACAATCTGGGAATCAGTCCTACCATATTTGGCTGGGGCGTCCTTGGCCGAGTGGTTAAGGTCGTTGACTTCAAACCACTTGCCCCTCACCACTGTGGGTCCAAATCTTGACAGGGACCTTGGATTCTTTCATGTGATGAAGCTATCCAGCTTGCTTACAGAACGTCTCTGGTTCTACTCAGCTGCCCGTTCGTGCCTGAAATAATGCACAGAAGGGCACCTGAGGTCTTCCTCCACCAGTAAAGCTGGAACATCGCCAAATGACATATACCGTGAGGGTGTGACGTAAATCCCAGACAAACAAACAAACCATATTTGGCATAACACAATACTACAGTATGCAGGCAATGTCACAGCAGGAGTGTTAATCTAAATACTTTGTATATGAAGAAAAGTGTAACGGTGTAAAAAGTTCTTTGTGCATATTGTTTAAGTTTGCGGTGTTTTTGATGTTCATCCTAAAATGATGCAAAGACCAATTTATTTAACCATGTTTGATATGTGACTAAAGAATGTGTAATTTATAATTTTTAACTATTTGGAAGTTTAGTTGTTTCCTTGAGCAAAAAACTTTACATTCATTGCTAAGTACTGGTTGGTTCCAGGAACAGATTCAAAAGTGTGTTTATAAGCTTATAGCTTCTTACACAATCAAACTAATATAAATTCTGTATAAACCAAGTTTTATTCAATGTATCAAGTTTATCATTTAAAATGAGATGGTAAAGGAATTTTAAGGATACATTAAAAATAGAAAAAAGCCTACATTTTCTGTAATTCAAAACATGTTTTATGTTTACTGCATCTATTCCAGTGCACCAGATTATTTTAATGAAGGTTGGTTAAATAGAATCAAAACAGAGGATGTGACCAACTGGCGACTTAAAGTCAGCAATTTAAAGAAAATACTCAAAGGCATTTTAGAATACAATCTGGAGGTAATGTCATACTGTTATATTTTAGTATTTGTAAAAGTTTGATTTATTTATTATTTTAACCACAACTACATAAGAAAATTATAGGGTTAAGTTGTCTACAGTATTAATTCACATGTAACTTCAGATATTCCTTAGCGGCCAAAGTTGATCAAGAGTCATTACTCTAGCATGGACAATATTGCTAAATTATTCCCCCTTGTAAAGATCAATTTATATTATTGTGTCTATGTATCAATAAAAATGTAGGTTTCTATTTGACAATAAATTGTTCAAAAAGGTACCTAAGATAAACCTAAGTAGTTCAAGAAAATCAAACTTGAGAAAAATGTTTTAAGGTTTAAAGAAAAGTAAGAAGATCAAGATTCAAGTAATAATTTTCTTTGTTGTGTGTGATTAATGACTCATTTTATCTATTTATCTATCTTCCATTAATGTCAAACCTCATGTGGGGACTTGGACATTTTGCTTTTGCAATATTTATGACCATTTATCTTTTGTGTGACCTCTTTTTGGTAACTTATTTGGTTTGTAAGTGCTATTGCAATGTGTAAGATACTTTTTTGTTCACTTCACAATATTTTACTTCTAAATACATGTTCAAAATTTATCTCACTTTGTATTTTCATAGTCTGGAAGTGATCATTGTTAAAATTAGGAATTTTTGAATGCTAAAATTTACTAACCATCTTTTATGACTATACAGTACATTTTTGTACATGTATATGGTATAGTCAGAAATCATATCATGTTCAGCATAGTTAATTCATTAAACTTTGCCCTGCTAGCAGCAACTAAATGTAGCCATGTGACCAGTGCAGACCAAGATAAATCATTTGAAAAATATTACTTGGTTTAAACATATTTATTTAAGCTTGATTGCAAAACAAGTTCTTGCAACTTATATTAATCACTTTTGAAAGCAACCAGTACTGGTGTCATATGAAGAAACATGGTTGTGACCTGATTAGGGCTCGAACCAATGATCCCTAGCTTGATAGGCAGACACATTAACCACTAGGTGGCTACTGTCAGCCCTAAAAAAAATCGTAGGTCTTAGAAATTTTCTACTTTGCTGCATATAAATTGAAATGATTTTTGTTTGAGACATGTTCTAAAGATTTTAACAAAGCTGTGCTAAAACAGCATTAAAGCATTTCAAATGTTGTTGTCTCCTTCACTTAATGAGTCCACAGACTTTGCCATTTAAGTTGTTTCCTCAGCATTTATTTGTTTTGTCTCAAAAGGAATTACTTTAAATGAGAATTTCTTCCTATTACAGATATTGGGAATACAGATCCATGATTTTCAGATGCCTGATGTAAATGCTATAGGTAAGTGTAATTGTGTTCTCAGTACTTATAATTAAGGGCAGCAGAAATCAAGATAATTCACTATATTTGTTGTTTGGTTACATGTTACAGGTTTTTATAATGCCCAGGCAATAAAATTGTATAGGAGGATGAATACTGCAATCAGCTTGTTAGTTTGTTTGGATGTCCATTTAGCTCTACCTGTTGTTAATTTTTAGTATAACCTAAGTCTAGATGAGATACAAGCATGAAACTTAATAATATGAAGATAGGACTAACATACAATGTTGCTAGCATTGTTCTGTCTATATTCGGGGAAAATTGAATAAGAAATTTATAAATTAGTCCCAAATTGGTCTAATTATGGATGACTGTTGACTGATAAAAAACTAAATTTTAGATTATTTCTTGTTAATAATCTTAGTGGAGCTTGATGGAAATAAATTAAAGTAGCATTTTTGATAATACCGTCATGATTTAGAAGAATAAAATATTTAATAAATTTTTTTTTGCAATAAAATGTATAAATTATTGGAACCTTGAATGACTTTCTCAGCTGGTGTTATTATTTGATTATTTGACATTCCTTCTGTAAATAAGGAGTTTTTGTTTTTAATTGGGAAAAAAATTCATCTTATTTGTTTGTGATTGGAAAACAGTCTGAATGCCAGAAAAGTAAGATAAGTAAAAGAAAGATTTTATCGTCCAGTGTTTATATTGAATATCTGTTCTTAACAGCTGTTTAGTAATTAACAAGAGACACATATTTCAATATGTACATGTGAGTTTATGGCTTTTCCATAAAAACCGGATATATAATTTGTATTGCTGTTTGGTTATTTCTGAAAAATGATAAATTTATACAAAGCATTTTTAAGTTGCAAGTTTAAATTGCACACTATATATTTCTTCATGTTAAAACCTTTATGTTGATGGAAATTTGCCAGTACAAAAATTTGATATGTTGTGAGTAACCACCATCTTAGAAGATATTTGGATGTAAAAAGTGTTAAATCGTTGAATTAACTGAAACTAGGACACCCAACAATAAATAAGTTTACATGAAAATATAAAAGAAATTTTGTGGCCAAGCTAGTATGGTATTTTTAACCAAACATAATTATAATTAAGAACAGATATTGCTATAATATTATTTACTTGTTTTACCAAAGCTTTTATAGAAAATTACAACATGAACACAAAAATGATTATGTCAAATTACAATGTAAGGTATTGAGGTAGGAAAATAAGACATTGCATTAATATTTGCTTCATTTTGGTATATACAGTAACATTTTACGCTAGCAGATACTGAAACGACTCTTATATTTCCTATATATAGTTTACTTTTTATGATGTATACCTAGAGAGCCTGTAAGTGATACAGATATTTTCCAACAAGTTTTCTAAGAGCATATTGATTTCAGTACAGTTATAGGTGTTAAATTACCTATACAGAGTTATACAGTGTTATATATTTGTTGGTTAGTAGTGACAGAATGTCTCCAGCTAAAATGATTATATTCTCTGTCCTCTCTGACCAATCTATAAATGAGCCGCGTCACGACAAAACCAACATAATGCATTTGCGACCAGCATGGATCCAGACCAGCCTGCGCATCCGCGCAGTCTGATCAGGATCCATGCTGTTCGTTATCAGTTTCTTTACTTGTTATAGGGTCTGTAAGCGAACAGCATGGATCCTGATCAGACTGCACGGATGCGCAGGCTGTTCTGGATCCATGCTGGACGAAACCCATTATGTTGGTTTTGTTATGACGCGGCTCAAATATAATAATCTAGTTTATATCATTATGCCGTGGATAGGGATTGTTTATTATTTGTATTTATATTTTGTGTCCTATTTTGTGAGTATTTGAGGATTTAAATGGAGAAAAATATATAAATGTGAGATTCATGTATAGTTTGTATATGAAGTTTAAATGCTTTTAATTAGATTTAATATTTATGATGACTTTTTCTCATAATTTAATGACATTTTATTTTATTTACCTTAACATACTTGACATTAAAGTGCTTACTTAGCCTTTACTACCAGTATAGAACGAGGCTAGATCAGCCTGCACATCACTGGCTGTATACTGTTAACTGACTGTATATTAAGTGACATTAAGCCCATCCAAGGGTATATATTGAGTGAACAGGTGAAAGTCAAAATAATTTTACATTCTGTCATAATCCTTTCAATTTTATAATTTTCTCCGCATAACTATAAATAACTCAAATGGCCAAAGGAAATTTCTGTCTATATGCAGCAGAATTAACCTGTATTGTTCAGTTTGTAAAAAGAGTGGGGCAGTCTTTTTAAATTTTAGGCAGAATTATATTTTGTCCTTAACATTTACCGAACTGTTGGTCAACCACCATTTTAACAGTCAATCTGTTTAAATGTAAAGTTAATTTTAAGACTATGAAATAGTGTACATAATGTCACTTTAAATTTTTCATCCCCAAAATTGATAATGAACATTCCAAAAATGAAGACTGGAAGATTCCAATTAACAAATTCAGCATATTAAGGGTTAATACCTACATGAACTTTGAGAAACCATTTACATCATTTTTTTCATTGCCATAATTGTTTGATGTCACATTAAAAACTGTAGCAGGTAGAAATAACAAGATTTTTATGAGATCATTTATTGTTATTGTGCATGTTAAATAGTTATATATATATACCGTATATCTATTGTTGCTAAAAATTTAGTGTCTTAATCATTGTGGATTTTTTTATTCGGGGATAAATGGATGCTGTCCAAAGGTTTGCTGTAGATTACTTGTTTTTAAGTAAAATCATAAATGTACCTAAAGCACCCAACAGGTTACAGATATTGATTTTGCATATGATATATACCTGAGCTCAATATTTTACCCTCTACATGTCTGTAGCAAGGTCATAATAAAGAAATTGTAAGATACCATATGTAAGGATTTTTTGATGTCACATTCAGTAAAATTATTTTGAATTTATCCTGAGAACAATGCATCTGATGTTCACAAAGTGAAATATATTTCAGTCTAATACTTAAACTATCTTTCTTTTTTTATCTCCGGCAGAGATTGTAAAATTTGCCATTAGACACTTCATTTTTTGGTTAAGAATTTTTTATTGCCCAGAAATGTCATTATGATAAAGACATTTTTTTTGGCCATTAAAAAAGGCTCTTTTGATTAAAAAAACTGATGTTGAGAATATGTTCTCTTATTTTACCAGGAGAGCACAGTGACCATGGTGAGTTAGGTAGGCTGCTGCAATTGATTTTAGGATGTGCAGTAAACTGTACAGAGAAACAAGAGTATATTCAGCGTATTATGTCCATGGAAGAATCCGTTCAACATGTTGTTATGACTGCCATACAAGAGGTAAAATATTCATACACATTAAGTCCTTAAAGGGAATGCATCATAATTGCATTCTTTGATTTAAATAAATTAAATTGCAATGAACATATTCATTTACTTATAATATAAACATCAGAATTGTCCAATGAAAATGGATGTTACAAAGGGGTAATGTCATAAAGTTCAAAGTTAACAAAAGAAAAAATACTTTTCTGTTATATTATTGGTTACAAAGTTTTTGACAGGTTATATAGCCCTATATAAATGGATGTTTGTATATATAACCCAAGCTTTAAAGTGGGAGTTATATTGCAAATAACCATTAATAAATTATATGCCGGTACGGCAATGTAACCTGTTAAGAAAATTTATAACAAATTTATAATGCTGCAAAGTTTGTTTTTTTAAAAGAATAAAATGAAATATCTTCATAAATCCAATGCTGTTGTCTTTATAGATTATATAAGCATCATGATTAGCCAATGAACAATTATGTTACAAACATGCAATAGTATAAAATGTATTATTATAGTTATTGTGAATGTGTTTTCTCATACGTAAGCTCTATGTTTCAGCTGATGACCAAAGAAATCACAACAGATGTAGATTCTGAAGTGGGTGAACAGGTAAATTGTTCAATTTAACCTTTAACCTGCTCAATTAGTGTAATGGGTTAGCCCTGATTTTAATTTGAAACAGTCCATTCATAGTAAAAAGCATTTCCATTTCAAATGCAGAAATAGAGCTCTCCTGCCACTTAGATCAATAGTGAGAGCATTGGTTTTGTAATTCAGGATCAGCTCATTTGATCCTAGTGAGAGATGAAATTGCCCCTTGACAGTTAATGTTGGACATTGGGTCCAACGGTCATTTGTCTCTCAATGCTGATTCAGAAATCATCAAGGAGAAGTAGTTGGTCACTTGCACAGAAATTGGTGATTACTTGTTAATAATCAACAAAAGCCAGATAGGTGGACAAGCCACCAACATATAAACAGAAATATGTTAAAATTGGCATAAGAACCAACCAATGCATAGATCCCTGACCTTTCTTATTCTAATTATCAGATTAGTGTATACAATAACAATTTCACCACAACATATTTGCTAACAAAAGAACACATGTCAGTGTTTGTGGTAAATCTATTGTTATCCAAATCAAAGGTAAGAGTAGGGCTCTATCAATAAACAAACAGTAGAGCTACCAGCATGTAAGAGCCTGTGCTGTGTCTAGCTTAATACTAGTTCCAGTGGCTTAACAGTTTGTTCGAGCAGGCAGGTTGTGTGCCAGCTATAATGATAACAACCTTGTGCCACCAGTATTACTGTTAGCATCAGGCTTCTAAAGACTTAACACATTTGTTATTGTGACCATTTGTAAGTCTTTAAATTAAACTTGAAAGTCCTTCAGTTAACCATTAACATTCCCCTTCATGAGTCTGGGTAAGCTTGCAATATAATCTTACTGTGTCTCCTTTTAATATTTTCGTCATGTCAAGATAGAGAAAAATGTATATACTAGTAATAGACAGAAAATTCAAGTTTTTTTCTATAAATACAAGATTCATTTTCATCTTGTGGTATGAAAATTATCATATTTCATACCACTCTATGAAAATAAGTCCTGTATTTGTAGGAAAAATTTGAATATCCCCTAATTTTATTCCGCCATTACTTTTGTATTTATGAAGTAATTTGAAAAAACTTTGTATATTTCAGTTGAAGAGAACTGTAGAAGAGTTAAACAGTGCAATAGAAGCCAAAGAAGAACTGATGCAGCGATGTCATGAATTAGATTTACAGGTAAACTCATTACATCAATAAAAATATATTTTATGCTAGACATAGCCATAAAAAATTAGGTCAAGTGTGGAAATTTTTTTTATTTGGTTTCTGTCTAGTTTTTACTGCAGGCAAGGGGTAATTAAAACTGATGGAGCATTAAAAAAAAACAAAAGAAAACAATATAAGAATAAAACTTTGGTTTTCTTTCCCTACTTCTAAAAGTATTTCTAAAAGTATTTACTTAAAATTGTTTTTAAAGTAATTATTTATATGCATATTATTTTGCCATATTTATTGCTATGTATTTTGTACAAGATACATTTTATAAATTGTGTATATGACACAGTTGCTTTAACAATATTTTTGCACAGTCCTTTTAAAATGTTTTTCTCACCTTTTACCACGCCATCATTCTAAGCATTTCCTTCATGTTGATATTTTGTATAATACAGCCCTTAAGTTCACCATATCATCCTAGACAGATGTTAAAATATTATATTTACAAGTTGTGACATCTATATATCAATGCCCTAGTTGCCATATGTTTGTTTCCAAATAATCATATATAATAAATTATATTCATTAAAATGAATATCCTTATGTTTAAATGCCGAGGTAAATGGGGATATCAAATTACTTGGAATGGTCTGATGCCCTTATTATCACATTAAATTATGTGTTACATTTGTTGAAATGAAATTGACTTTATTTCATTATACATGTCTAAGAACAGGCTTTTGTGGCGGAGTGGTTGATTAAGATTGATAACTTTAAATCACTTGTCCCTTACCACTGTGGGTTCAGTTCCTATCAGGAACTTCTGATTCTTCATCCGAAGAAGCTGTCCAGTTAGCTTACAGAAGATGGGAGGTTATACTCAGGTGACAGCTTGTGCCTGAAATAAGAAATTATCAGAAGAGAGGTCCTCCCTCTAGCTGGAAATGTCCTCGTTTGAACTTTACAGTATTGCTGTGATTTAAATTATAACAGAGAAACATGTACTTGATAAAGAATCTAGGAAGAGAATGTTTTATATATAAAAGAGATTTATCAAGTGCCATTTTTAGCTCGACTTTTCTATGAAAAGGGGAGCTATCCTACTCGCCCCGGCGTCGGCGTCGGCGTCACACCTTGGTTAAGTTTTTCGTACCACCCCACTTTATTTCAGAAGTATTACAAGTATGGCTTTGAAACTTACCATACTTGTTCACCATCATAACCTCCATCTACAGACAAGAGTACAATAACTCTGTCAAGGTTTTTGACAGAATTATGGCCCTTTTTTGACTTAGTAGAAAGTGTATTGAGCTTGGTTAAGTTTTTTGTACCACCTCACTTTATTTCAAAACCATTGGAGGTATTGCTTTGAAACTGACCATACTTGTTTACCATCATGACCTTCATCAACAGACAAGAGGACATAACTCTGTCAAGGTTTTTGACAGAATTATGCCCCTTTTTTTGACTTAGAAAATACATTGAATATGGGTAAAATCCACTTATTGGCCTTAACCCTTTGAGATATTGCTTTGAAACTTTTAATGCTATTTCACATCATTACCCCCATCTGTACGCAAGAGAAGGTAACTCTGTCAAAGGATTTGTTTTAAAAATTAAGGCCTTTTATCGACTTAGAATCTTGGTTAAGTTTTTAGTACCAGTCCAACTTTTTGACTGAACTGTTTGAGATATTAATTTGAAAGTTGGAATACTTGTTTACAATCATGATTCCCAAACATGTCCAGGAGAAGGTAATTCTGTCAAAGATTTTATTTGAATTATGGCCCTTAACTGTCAATGTTTTGTATTATAGGCAAGCACTAAAAAAGTCGAGCGCGCTGTCTTACGGACAGCTCTTGTATTTGTATGCAGCTACATTCAAAAATTGTGGTTTGCAGTATTTCTGATGAAATATATACAGATAAATGTAAATATATATGAACATGTTTTTATTCAGTTTTGTAAATTACCAATTAAAGATACATGTTAATGTACTTCAAGTTTTTAAACTGCCTATTTTTTTCTAATTTTAACTTTCATGCTAGCAGGAAGTTGTAAGTGAAAGTCCAAGGTGAAGGGAAATTCCCAATAGCTTATGGAATACATGTATATATATATAGCTATCGAAAGCTACATATATTTAATCCCTGAGAAGTGGTCTATTGGTTAAATCTTCTGCTCTCATTGGCCTATTGGTTAAAGCATTTGTTCTCACAGTTTTCTCATGTGACACTGGTACTTGTTATTTCCAGGAAGCTTAATAGTGGTTCAGATTAACTTCAAGATTTCATCGCAGTTATGCTACAATAAAATACATTCAATCTAAAAACAATAGTTTTGTGCGTATATAAGAGAGATGATTGGTTATTTTTGTATTACATTTGTTTTGATCAACAAACTTTGGATTGGCCATTGTTGTTGGGGGGAAAAAACAATATTACAGTTATTTGACATAATTTGAACAAAAAAATGCTGATTTAGTGTGGTTGCCCTAGCTTTGGTATTTTGTAATGAATTTATTTAATGTGCTTTCCAGGTCAGAAGGTTTTGTGTGGTGCCAGATGCTTCTTTTAATCAATTTTTGGGTATCCTTGTTTTTTTATTGGCCCTGACTTCTTTTTCCTTTTCTAAGCGCATTTTGTTAGTTATGTTGAAATTGTTTGCATTAGTGCCACACAATAATGGGTTATTGTAAACATTTCCCCCCACATTCCAGAGACCTAAGATTCAATAAGACTTTTGTGCTTTAATAATGGAATGCTTAAATTTATTCTAGTATTTACCTGTAGTATGTTTATCCAGTTTTTGGCGCTTTCCGGATTTTTGCGATATTCACTTCGTTGAAAATGTATTTTTCTATACTTTTTCATTGTCATTCAAAGACAAGAGGCCATAATTGAAGGATGTGTAAAATAAAAACAATTCTTTTTTAGCTCGACTTTTCTATGAAAAGGGGAGCTATCCTACTCGCCCCGGCGTCGGCGTCGGCGTTGGCGTTGGCGTCACACCTTGGTTAAGTTTTTCGTACCACCCCACTTTATTTCAGAAGTATTACAAGTATGGCTTTGAAACTTACCATACTTGTTCACCATCATAACCTCCATCTACAGACAAGAGTACATAACTCTGTCAAGGTTTTTGACAGAATTATGGCCCTTTTTTGACTTAGAAAGTGTATTGAGCTTGGTTAAGTTTTTTGTGTACACCTCACTTTATTTCAAAACCATTGGAGGTATTGCTTTGAAAACTGACCATACTTGTTTTACCATCACGACCTTCATCAACAGACAAGAGGACATAACTCTGTCAAGGTTTTTTGACAGAATTATGCCCCTTTTTGACTTAGAAAATACATTGAATATGGGTAAAATCCACTTATTGCCTTAACCCTTTGAGATATTGCTTTGAAACTTTTAATGCTATTTCACATCATTACCCCCATCTGTACGCAAGAGAAGGTAACTCTGTCAGGATTTGTTTTAAAAATTAAGGCCTTTTATCGACTTAGAATCTTGGTTAAGTTTTTTGTACCAGTCAACTTTTGACTGAACTGGTTGAGATATTAAATTGAAAGTTGGAATACTTGTTTACCATCATGGTCCCAAACATGGCAGGAGAAGGTAATTCTGTTAAGGATTTTATTTGAATTATGGCCCTTTTGACTTAGAAACTCAGTTAAAAATTTTCATTCTTGTCCACTTGTTGACCTAACCATTTGAGATATTACTTTGGAAGTTGGAGTTCTTATGTGCCATCATGAGACCTATCTGTAAGCAAGAGAAGATAACTCTGTGAAAATGTTTCTTGATTTGTACTTAGAAATTCCTAGTTAAAGTCTTATGTGCCCTTAACTGTCAAAGTTTTGTTTTATAGGCAAGCACTAAAAAAGTCGAGCGCGCTGTCCTTCTGACAGCTCTTGTTATTGTCCACTGTCTCTAAAAACAGAATCTCATTGATTTATCACAGATTTTGACCAATAGTAGACTTTTAATTTATAACTAAATTGCTGTTATTGTTTTAGGATAGTAAATGTAGTTGTGACATAATTAAATAATAAATAGAAAGCCAATTTTGTCTGCTAGTTCTACTTTTTGTCAAATATTTCTATCTTTGGGGATTTTTGTGTGTGTATTTTCTAGGTGACGGTCCTCGTTGAAGAAAAACAAAATCTTTCCTTAGAGAATGAGAAGTTATCAGAACGGCTCAATCAGGCGGAGAATCTTGATGATCCCAGGTTAGTAATAAATCTTGTATATGATCATTTATTTTAGCCAGGTCACGACAAAACCAACATAGTGCCTTTGCGACCTGCATGGATCCAGACCAGCCTGCGCAAACGCGCAGTCTGATCAGGATCCATGCTGTTCGCTATCAGTTTCTCTACTTGTTATATGGTTGGTAAGCGAACAGCATGGATCCTGATCAGACTGCGCGGATGCACAGGCTGGTCTGGATCCATGCTTGTTGCAAACGCATCACATTTGTTAACAAGAATTTCAAAGAAAACCGGGTTATTGTAATGCCGAAGTCGGGCGGGTGGGTGGGCGGGTTCAGGTGTCAACTTTTGGTTTCCGCTCAATAACTTTAGTTTGCTTTGGCCTATTGACACCAAACTTGGTGTGTAGGTAGCGTATATCAAGAGGCAGCTTTGGATTGTTACCCAGGTGTACGAGGTCAAGGTCACTGTTACTAAAAATAAAAATTCAGTTTCCACTTAAAAACTTGAGTTTGCTTTGGCCTTTTGACACTTAATTTGGTGTATGGATAGCTTATATCAAGAGGCAGCTTTGGATTGCTACCCAGGTGTCTGTGATCAAGGTCAAGGTCACTGTTACTAAAAATAGAAATTCAGTTTCCGCTCAATAACTTAAGTTTGCTTTGACATATTAACACCAAACTTGGTGTATGGATAGCTTATATCAACAGGCAGCTTGGGATTGCTACCCAGGTGTCTGTGATCAAGGTCAAGGTCACTGTTACTAAAAATAGAAATTCAGTTTCCGCTCAACTTGAGTTTGCTTTGGCTTATTGACACCAAACTTGGTGTATGGATAGCTTATATCAAGAGGCAGCTTGGGATTGCTACCCAGGTGTCTATGATCAATGTCAAGGTCACTGTTACTAAAAATAGAAATTCAGTTTCAGCTCAATAGCTTGAGTTTGCTTTGGCCTATTGACACCAAACTTAGTGTATGGATAGTTTATATCAAGAGGCAGCTTGGGATTGCTACCCAGGTGTCTGTGATCAAGGTCAAGGTCACTGTTACTAAAAATAGAAATTCAGTTTCCGCCCAATAACTTGAGTTTGCTTTGGCTTATTGACACCAAACTTGGTGTATGGATAGCTTATATCAAGCTTATATATATTCCCATTGAAGCCGGATAAAAGAATTTCTTTTGTGTCTTTTTCTTATATCTTATATACATTTGAATGTTTCTGACAGTTAAATGTATTCCCTGCATTGAAATCAGTCCTATACATTGTAAGGTTAACATAATGTAATAGCCTATTAGATGAGATAGAGTTAACAGTTCATGGGTTGAATGAAACAATATTTTGAACTGTTATTAATCTTCAGTGAGTTATATTTATATCTCACAGTTTAAGGTTGTATGGATTTTTAGATTGAATTTTTTATAGAAAAAAAACTTAAGATTGAGTGTTTCCTTAATATTTTAATCAGTAAATATGAGCCGTGTCATGACAAAACCAACATAATGGATCCAGACCAGCATGGATCCAGACCAGCCTGCGCATCCGCGCAGTCTGATCAGGATCCATGCTGTTCGCTATCAGTTTCTCTACTTGTTATAGAGTCTGTAAACGAACAGCATGGATCCTGATCAGACTGCGGGGATGTGCAGGCTGGTCTGGATCCATGCTGGTCGCAAACCCATTATGTTGGTTTTGTCATGACGCGGCTCATATTTATTTTATTAACTAACATTTCTGGGGATTTTTTGTTTGTTGAACAAGGCTCTTTGTTAGCTTTGTTGTCTATTGTAGTTCGGTGAAAGTGGCTATATATTTTTACAACCTAGTACCATCTACCTTTTTTAAAAAACCAAAAAAAAAACATTTCTGCAAATTAAGAATGATGCATAATTTACCCAATTTTATTCGATATATATTTATGCTTGATTATTTTGCATGATAGATAAACTTTTACAAAATCATTATGCCTATGTTTCTGTCTTATAGAGATTTCTGTTAAATGTTACTTCCTTGTGAAAAAAAATTGTTCTTTTGTCACTCTTCTTCTAAGTAGAATATTTTTAGTTAAATGTTTTTATTTTCTGAAGTTATTTTTGTTTTGAGTGACTTTATACAAAGGTATTGAGTAAAGCAGTTTTTTCCTTTGTCATTTTCTTTGGAACAAGATATTTTTAGATTTTATACACTTATATTGCTGTTAAATGTTACAGCAATTTTTATGCGTAAGTAACGAGCAATGGTGTGAGGTGTTGATATATTGATGCATTTTGTATTTTGCATTATAAGATGTTAGCGCAAAACTAATCTATCTGTCATATTCTGGGATATACTACAAGTAGATGGTGGTTGATACATAAGATTTTTCCATACTTTGAGTTGGTACTTTGGAGTACTACAGGTAGATACTGGTTTTAATAGATTTGTCCATGCTTTGAGGTTGAGCAGTCTGTTCAAAGTTCAAGGATTTCAATATAAAAATACAAAATTGTGTTACCAACAATATAGAGCCTGGTCTATTTGCATGGATATTCAGCCTAGTCTTGCACGGTACTGGTGGCAAAGGCTAATGATTTCAGTAACAGCACAATAAGGGTATTAAGGGAAGAAAGAATAAATGGATAGACTAGTTTTGCTTAACTGCCTAGAATATTAGAAGAAAAAAATGTGATTTTGTGTACTCAGAGATAAACTGTTCAGTTTTTATCTTTATAAAAATTAGAGCAGTTTTGTACTCAAATAAGTTGCAATTTATAAAAATTCAGGGTTTTTTAAGACTTCAGCAGCACAGTACTAGGTACTGTAGCATAACAATTACACAAAAAATATGCTGAGAAAATGCCATTAAGTATTTGATATAGGTTTGGTTTTTAGAAACAATTGGCTTTACCACATTAAATGCATAGAAGAACTTTGAACAATCCTGTATAAGTGTTAAAAAGCCCTGAATTTTACAGATATGACAGAGTACAAAAGATAGTTACATGTATATACATACACCCTGGATAATGTTAACATTTACTTCACTGTCAGCTCTTATAATTATGAATTTTAATGACCCTTTAAAGAGTCCATACTATTATCATTCTGACTTTGCTACAACTATTTGTAAATATTTAGATTTTATGACTATATTGAGATTCCATACTTTTGTAACATTATCTACTCTGATAGATGTATACATCATTTCGATTACTTTTGTGGCTCTCTCAAGACTCCATACTTCCTGTAACTGATTGCTTAAAGGCCATGTGCTATCAGTTATCAAAATTTCATTAATTTTGCTCTTATTATTTCAATTGGTTTTATGACTGTCAATACTCCATACATCCGGGACAATTACTACATGCATTATATAATTATTAGAAACTTACTTGACAGTGAATTATTATATTTTTACTAAACTATTTTATTGTTACAACCTTGACCTTTATTTCCTCAACACTTTGGAACACACTTGTGTTTATGATATTACAACTCAATGCATTAAGGTTGTAGCCCATGCTGAATTAAACAGGGTGCCATCATTTACACAAAAACATTTTACTATCTTGCAGTGTTTGATTTTGCTTTGTGCTTGATTTGAGGTAATAGAGCATTTGAATTTGCATTTTTGAGGCCAATTTATTCTATTTACACAGTTTTCCTACCACATCACATTAATGCCTTATTCATGGACAGCTTCAGGCGTGTCTGTGGCCGAGTGGTTAAAGGTGTTGACTTCTTCCCCGAAACTTCTTGGTTCCAAAGCTAGGAAGCTATACAGCTAGCTTACAGAGCATCTGAGTGGTTCTTCTCGGGTGTCTGTTTGGACCTGATAATTGAAATACACAGAAAGGTGTCTGAGGTCTTCCATAAGTTATCTGTATAGAATCAATACAAGATGTTCAAATTTCTTCCTCTCATTAGTGACGATTGATTAAAGTTTAAAATCACATTTAGTACAAAGTAGCAAAATTAGTATTGTAATCACGCAGGTAGTTTAGAGAACAGTATATAGTTAAAATTTCCTATCCTTAAATTTTAATAACATTCTGTACATTCAAACATCTGCAATACAAATGTAGTTGCTGTTCTTTCATTTCACTGTGTATAATAGGTGACACTGAGTAGCGTTTAAGCACAAATATAAGTCAAAGATAAGTCAAATTGTTTAAATCACTTTAACTTTTGTAGAGTGAGAAATTTGATGGATTACTTTAACCTTCTGTAATGAAATAACTTATAATTACAAGTATTTAACTTATGATAATAAATGTATATTGTGTATGCTCGTAACTTGACCAGTTGGACACAGTGTGTATGAATGTTTGACCTGCTGAATTAATGGATCTTTTGGAAATGTCCATTGTCAATTTTTGATTATATCAAGCTGAAATTTTTTAAAGTTAGTTAGCCAACAGTAATAGAGCCAGGTCTCACTGCATGGATGTACAGGCTGGCCCGGCACTATACTAGTGGCAAAGGCTAATTACTTTTGGTCCAGCAGGTCAAAGCATATGCCATCATTATTGCGCTCATATGCCGTTCTTTTCTATATAACACAGCTTATATTCTTATATTATGCTGATAATATTCTGAACACTTGTAGCCAGCGCAGAAATAAATGTATCTTCTTGTATCAATGAGTGATAAACCAAATATATGCATTTTGTTCTTTCTGATATTAACATTATTTGTAACATTATATTACTGAATGTTTGTTTTAATAAGCATTATAAATTACCTCTCTTTTTCATATGATGAAATATTACTAATAATTCAGTATGTTTTAAAGCATTATACTAGCATGTATTTGCATAAAAAAATAATAATGCCAAAAAACTTTTTGTTTATCATTTAAAATGTTAATGGATAGAACTACTGTTTTTCAGCCTTTTAAATGATTAAATTGCACTGAATGAAAGCATGAATTTTGTATTTTCTGTTGAAAAATAATTTAAAAAAATTTACAGGCTGTACGTAACTTTTTTTATATCTAAGTATTATTTTCTACTTTCTGTTACGGAAAAGGATATAAATTAACCTCCTGATGTATAAGTTTTATTTATTTGATTTCCTTGGTGCATTATACATAGATCTGCCTAAGTGTGCTAAACAAAGATCTGTGTGAGTGCACTATAAAAAGGCCCGTTTAGTGTGCCAGAAAAAAGACCTGTGTTGGTGCAGTATAAATGGATCTGTTGGGATACCTTATAAATTGGCTGCCTGGTTAGCTTAATTGGTAGAGTGTTGGACTGTGAATAAGGAGACCCAGGTTCAATTCCCTGGCGGTAATGATCATTTCTATTGTGATTGATCATGAAATCCTTTCTAAGGTCATTTGCACTGTACCACTGCTCTGGCATGTACAGAAATTACTAGCAGTTCGTTGTGAAAGTAAAACTTATCTAGTGCCGGTCAAATGCTTGACAGCTTGTCCAGGAAAGGTGCAGTGGCTGAACTGTGCTCTGGTGAATTCAAAATGGCTTTTTGATGTTGTCTAGAGGGTAAACTACAAAAACCACCATCACTATAAATTGATCTGTGTGGATGCACTATAAATAGATCACTAAGGATGCACTATAAATAGAGAAGCTGTGAAATGAACTTAATTTAAAGTTAACAACATATTCAAAGAATAAAGGAGAGCTTTTGTACTCACCCAGGCATTTGCATTGACATCACACTTTACACTTTAGTTAAGTTTTTGTGCGCAAAACTGTCAAAAAAACTCCTGAAGGGAATACACATCATACTCTTATATGAGAGTATAATCAGAGATCACTGTCAAGGCCCATAACTCTGACATTGATTTTGACAGAATCATTGCACTGAGAATAGTCAAGAAGGCTGTCCTAACAACTGCCCTTGTTTTAGAAGTAAAAATCTGTCTGTGATTATGAATGGAAAAATTGATTGACGCTATCAATCTTTGGCATAAAATTTAAAATATATGATGAGCATTCAACAACAAACAAATTTATGTTGACGATAATCTATCTTGTATATTAAAAACCTCACATCATGCACCTTAGGCTGTGCAAAGCAACCAAATGAAATGTTACACATTTGGTCAGGCAAACTGATATTTTATTATTGCAATAAATATTTGTAAGATTTTTTTACAAAAAAAATGTATTTATAGATCAAAACATGGCTAATTTCTATATAAATAGCAATTTTGCAAAATGTTAAAGGTGAATTTGAAATTTTCCTGACATGTTACATAGTCTAGCAACTTTTGCCAAGTCTGAAATAGAGGTTATCCGGAACTTAACAAATGTGCGTGTTTTTTTTTTTATTCCATCTAATCCTGAAGCTCAAACAAATTTTTAGCAAGATGTCTTTTATTGTGCACGGACTTTCACAATATTGTGATCACTGCATTGCCCTTATTTTCAGTATTATTTCATGAGCTGTAACTAACGGTATATGTTCATTTGTAACACGGGATAAGATGAGATAAACCCTCATTTGCTGAGTTTCAGAGTATCTCTGTGTTGACCTTCACTAACAATACATTTACTTTATAATATTTTACAGTACACCTGCGGGAAAGCGGTTCCAGTTAATTCAACACCAGTTAGAACAATGTCAGGAGGAAAATTATAAACTAGAATCAAGTATGTGATGTTTGTTTAAATAAAGCTTCAAGTTGAAAGTTACTGTATGACTTAGAAAGCCTGTCCTGAATACACAATCGAACAAAGATAGACATCTGGATATCTTGGCTATTGAATTATTGAATGATTGTTGAATTATTTATTACATGCATAAGTTAACTTTTAATTTAAAAGTGTCCCAAGAAGATAAATGGCTTTGATTAAAAATTGAAATGACAAAAATGTACATTATTGAATATTTCTATTAATACTTTCTTAACAATTAACTTATCATTATATAAATTCAAGACTATTTAATTTTTGTAACGCCTATAGGTCTGTATGTTATTGTTTATTGATCTAGAAATTCAAATTTAAACAAAAATTTGTTTTCTTAATTGATTTTTAAACTTTGTTCCGAATGATATTTCAGCCAAAGATGATTTCCGGATAAAAGTGGAAGTTTTACAGAAAGAAATAAATGAGTTAAAGGACAAGGTATGTATATGTTTTATATTTAATTATATAAACCATTATATTAACATGTACTGGATTCTTGTTGAACTTAGAAAATTTATTTAAACTTTTTAAAGATTTTATGAGGATTTGGGTTTTTTGTGTGTTTGAAAATAATGTATAATGTGTTTGTATGCAGTACAGGTTAAAGGTCAAGGAAAGTCCTAGGCAATGATGCCCACTATATGTCATCAAATTAATTTTTTTATGGTTTTTGAGATATTTGCCAATCGTCACTTGGAGACATGTTTGATAACTGTTAGCTCAAGTATTCAAAGAATAAGGGGAGCTATTGTACTTGGGAAAGGGAGAGCTATGATTGTACACACCCCAGCATCCGAGTTGCGCTATAGTAAATATTTTACATGCAAAAGATATCTCCAAAACTACTGAAAGGAATTGGTTGAAATTTCACACTTATTTTAGAGCATAATGTGAAGTCACTCACTATCCAAGGCCCATAACTCTGACATGTTTTTTTAGAGAATTATGGCGTTTTTTCAACTTTTTCAATTATCTTGATTTACTTCATGTACTGAGGAGAGTTTAGCACGCTGACCTACCTATAGCTCTTGTTTAGGTGGATTGTACTGAATCATGATGTAAAGCAATAAGAAAATGATGCTTTTTTTAATAACTATCAAAAATTATCAAAATATGTATTAAAATATCTGAATTTCTTAGCTTGAGTAAAGAATTTTTTGTTTACTTTATTATATAGAATTCTGAATTGTTGACTCAGACAGAGGAATGTAGAGGCCTGAAAGATGAACTTGATGACCTTCGACAAGCAGCCGAACAAGTTGTAAGTATTCTAAAAATAGCTGATGTCTTAACAGGAACAATGTAGACTAATTTGCATGTCCCTAAACAAGTTTCTTTGCTGTTGCACAACCATTTCATTCAAATTTCTGCAGACTAAAATACTGCTTTATCACATAATTTCACATTGTATATTTCACCTTTGTTGTTAGTTGCTTAATTGAAATTAATTGAAAATATACAGTTATGATTATGGCAACTTTATAAGTTGTTTATTTATCTACATGTATTAACAATTCATAACATTGATTTTTATCATTGCAGGTGAAATATGAAGTTCAGATTGAATCATATAAAAGAAAGATGGGTAAGTGTTCTTGTGTTGTTTTCTGTTTAACTGTTGTGTAAGTTTTTCATGACTAGTAAATGACCCCTATTGATTAAGAGGTCAGAGGTCAAGGTCTGAGCCATTATTAACTGAACCATGGCATGTAATAAGTAATATTAAAAGACTTTTATCTGTTAATATTTGTTTGTATATTTAATAAATCAGTAAAAGTGATCAAAATTAAAATAATGCCAAATTATGCTATGCATTAACTGATTTTGGCATAGTTAATGCATCAGATTAGCATTAAAGTAATGCTAAATTTCTTACAAATATGTCATAACCAATCAAGGCTTGGAAAAAGCAATGCATTACTTGATGCATTTAATCATTGAAATTTAATTTGCCCTATTTCTGATGACACTTTATTATGTAACTCTACCTTATGTTAATGCTATGTTACATTAATATATGTTGTATTCTATGGCATTACCAAGTTTTCAATTTCATGTTTAATAACACTAGTAAATATTTGTGTTATATAGCACTACCCAGTATTTAACTACCCAATATTTTACCCAGTATTTAACTACCCAATATTTGATTATGTATTTAAGTACTCAATATTCATGTTATGTAGCACTACCAAATATTTTATTGCCCAACATTTGTGTAATGTAGCACTACTCAACATTCATGATATGTAGCACACCCAATATTCAACTGCCCAATATTGTTGTTATTTAAGTAGCACTACCAAGTAATTAGCAACCCAATATTCATGTTGTGTGGCACTACCCAATATTTAACATCCAATTATTTGTGTTATGTAGCATTACCAAATATTTAAGATTTAATATTCGTGTTAGTAGTACTACCCAATATTTAGTAACCCAGTATTTGTGTTATGTAGCACTACCTCATAATTAGCAACCCATCATTCATGTTACATTGCACTTCCCAATATTAACATCCAAGTAACCAAATCAAGTATTGAACATGTTAATACTCATGTTATGTAGCATTTCCCAATATTATGTTATGTTGTCAACATTAAAGTTATGTGATACAATGCTATATTAAAACATGACACTGTCCTATTTTCATGTTTTATGACATATCATGAATAACAACACCTACAATTTCTCCTGTGTTACAAATTTAGATTTAAATGTTATTATTGGGGTTCCATCTGTGAACAAGAAGTATAATAAAATCACCACAAACAATAAGCAATAAAGACAACATGTAGAACAGAAGCTGTTATGTAGTAAGTTAATCCTCTTTTCTGCTGGAATGCGGTGAAGTATAGGTGTCAAATTACAAATAAAAGCATAAAATTTTATGTATCTGTGCAGATTGTGTGTATTAAAACATATAATGGTTATTGGCTGTTGCAGATGAACTGAGTGACTTGAGAGGACAGGTGAAATTGTTGGAAGATAAGAATACAAAATACATGCAGGAAAATCTTGAATTACAAGAGGTGAGATCTTATATTAGATTGTTGTTGAACTCAATTGTAAGAATTAAATTATTTAGATTTGAAGCTGGATGTTTGAAGTTAAAATTTCTGTTATGTTTTCTTTTCATTGTTGAGGAATTCTAACACTTATTATGTGGTTTTGAAACAATATCTTATTATAAATATGACAAATTGTGCTGTTAGATATTAAAAATTCCAGCCATATTTAGAAAAAGTTCTGAAATGATAGTGTAGTTAATTAATAAATTCTACCTTGCAGTCATGAGATCAGAATTTTTTTTAAAACCTGAAAACTTGAATGGACTGTTCCAAATTTAAGGCTGGTAGATTTCATTGCACATGTTCAGCATTTTAAGGATTATTTACATTGTTGCTAATACAGGACATCAGAAAATCAGGGACAGTTAAACAGCAGCTTGATGTATACAAGCGACAGGTACATGAGTTACAGAGCAAACTAACAGAGGAGACTAAGCGCGCTGACAAGGCAGACTTCGAGAATAAACGCGTGAATGAGAAAGTTTCAACGTTAATGAGAGAAAAAGAGGTAGGTTGGTTCAAAGATGTTAGCACAGTTGTAATACAGTTATAATCTGACAGTATCTTTCAGCTGCATTATGCAGATCATAAATGCACGTCATGCCAGATTTAGGTTATGTTTCCAATATGTTGCAAAATTGATGACCAAGTAAGGAGGAGTTACTTAGGTTTCAAGGCAGCTGGTCGGACAATGAGATGTTATCAAGAGCTCTTTTTTTTGGCATTAGTTTATAAAATGTGTTCATAATATATTATCAGAGATAGTGAAAATTAGAAAAAAAGCAAGCATAAAACTCCTACAAGAGTCCAAGTCAGTTAAGTTTCTTACAGCAAAATACTTGTAACATGCAAGAATACATAAGTAAATAAGTAAGTGAATTGTTTCTGAAAGTGACATAAGTATCTTATCCCTAATTTAAGGTTCTTTTATATATAAAAAAAAAGCTGTCCAGTTAGCTTATGCAGTTGATAATGTCTGAAATAATGCAACAAGGGATTTGTTCTTTCCTGGGCAGTGTTTGTGCCACTTAAAACAAAATAAAAAAATTCTTTGCCAGTTTAACCTACATAAAATTATGCAAGGAAGATATGCATTGAAAATAATATGGTTATTCTTGTTATAAATTGACCTTTTAAAAACCTCATTTATCTTTTCCCTACTAACTTACAACACGAGCCATCTACCTACCACATATAATCAAACAAAGAAAATTATGTACAAAATCAGTGTTAAATACGCTTTAACAACATACATGAAATTTCTGTGAAATTATAATTGTATTATTAATGAAACTGTGTTTGCCATTTCTCTAATGGAATATTGGAACAACATTTTCAGACATTACGGGAAAATTTGTGCTGCTATTTACTCACTGAATGTTATTGTAAAAGTAATTTGAAACCATCTGCATTTTGCGTAATTTTTCTTGTCAACTTTGCGCAGTTTCAGGTGAACTTGTATTAAATTTCAGTGGCAGTGCACTAAGGTGATGATCTATTAATCTGTGTGTCTTTGGTTATGTGATGATTGATCTAGTTTTGTTTAGGGGTCAACAGGTCAAGGTGATATCTAATTTTAAGACTGTGAACATATTCTTGTCAACTATAGAACACTGATTATGTACATAATTTTCTTTGTTTTTTTATTAAATGTGGTTGGTAGATGGCTCACATTGTTGTATCAGTTAGTAGGGCAAAGATAAACGTTTTCAAATGGTCAATTTATAACATTTATTTGGGTTCGAATCCCTCCAGATATGTCAGATTCTGTCATGTGGGGCAGCTATCCAGCTAGCTAACTGAACATTGGTGGTTCTACTAAGACACTGGTTTGTGCCTGAAATAATGCATGGAGGGGTGCATGGAGAGGTTTTTCTCTACCAGTAAATCTGGAAAGTTGCCATGTGACCATTATATGTTGGTGTGAGTTAAAACCTATTAAAACAAACAAACAAATATTAATATGTCAGTTGCTGTAACATGTACACATTAATATACATTATAGTAAATATTGAGATATGTTTTACTTATAAATAACATGCATGTTTGCTGCAGAGGGTTTTGATAGAGAGAGATTCTCTACGTGAAATGAATGAGGAACTGAGATGTAGACCAGTGGAACATGTAATATAGCTAATTATTTCACGCTCAGAACCCAAATATACTTATTTTCCTCTGTGTTAGAATTATAGCACCGGCTTATACTTGTTGTTCAATCAATATTTAGCTCCCTTTGTTTTTTTGCGAAACATTTTCCAATATCACAACTTGCTGTCAGTGTTTTCAGTTTATATTTTATTGCATTATTGGCCTTTAATGTATTTTCATGCTGCACACATGCTTTGCTCTATGGACCTTTAATATTTTTTTTCATGCATACATGTTACGACTATTTTAATTCTTGTTATATGATTATATCTTACTAATATTTTTGTCTGTCTGCTCAATAAGTTTGTCTGCCCCAACCTTACATAATGCTTTTGAAAAACCTGACAAATTGAAATACCTTGGCAAAAAATATTAACCATTTTAAAATGTGTGGTGTCATGTGCAATACAGAGGTTCTTATATTCAAGGTCAAGGTTATACATAGAGGTTAATGTCATTGGGTTTAATATAAGCTATACACATAAACAGAATGCAGGCTTATTTCCCGTCAATTTTTTGTAAATGACTGTAAATTGTTATTAACTTTGAATGATTATTTCTTTAAATGTAAATGTACTTTTTTCTATAATAGATCCTATATTTATGCACAATTTTTATAAAATATTTTTAATAATTTGTTGTTCATATATTATGAAAGTTTCAAGCTGCAAGAAATGTTTTATGTTTAAATGGCCATTATCTGGGTCAGTATTTGTGTTTCAGCTTTTCAGTATTAACCCATTACCTGCTGGGTTTCTTCATTAGATTTGTCCATTTTCCTTTTTTGGGGAACTGTCCATTATTGATTTTGGGGGTGTCAAGATTACTAAGTAAAGTCAGTCAACAGTGTTGAGTCTGGTTAAACTGCACAGATGTGGAGACTGGCCAGGTTCTGTTCTGGATCCAAGGTTATAAAGAAATTTCTAAGCTCAAACTCAGATCTCAGGTATTTGATTGGTCAGAAACTGCCACAGAATGTACACTGACCAATGAAAATCCTGAGATTTGACGGGGGTTGGATGGGCTTTAGGTCTGGTAACAATGGCTGAATTGTGCTCTGGTAAATTCAGTGTTGCTAACTGCCGTGTTCTGGAGTGAAAACTACCAACACCACCAAGGCTAATAACTCTTAGGACCAGCAGGGTTAAGGGTTATATATAAGTATTTCAGTTGCAGCTCTAATTAGCAGCATGTTGTCATAGTGATGTGATAAAAATATAGTTTAAACCTACACTTAAAATCACATGTAAACATAGGCAACCTGCCTTATCAGATAATTGTCTTTAATGATTTGTAATACAGTTGGACCTGTGATCAGTGGTCATATGTCTTCAAATAAATTAAACAAATATAGTTAAACTAATCGATAATGGGTGTTTCTTTTTGTTGAAGTATAATATTGTTATATATACATGTAATTTTACTTAAAAAAAACAAAAACAATTATGATAATTGGAAATTTGTGTAAACAAGCAGAACTTTATTTGAATTTCCTCATGTCCACTCCACTCCCCTCCCACTCACCATACCTTTCATAGCTCTATGTTTACCTCATGCCAACTTTATACCAAGAGTAATGGTTTCCTTTGCAAACATTTTATGAATTGTATGAAATACAAACTTCACATGAAGTTACACAACTGTTAACATGCTTAGGAAAGTAGGAAAGTAGCTTTGGAAAGAATAATGTCCTGCTAGATTTTCTTCTTCTGATAATGACTGACAGAATGATCTGCCTCTCTAGCAACTGAAATGATGAACTTAACCCACTGAGGTTTTTTGATATGACGAGACTGATCATATTTTTTCCAGATAAATGTACCATTTGATGTAGGTTTAGACCACTAATCTTTGTGCAAAATTTCAGATAATTCGCGCACTTCGTTTTTCCAGAATAATTATTCAAATTGTAAAAAAATGACCCAAAGTGAAAAGAGTTTTAACGCTTTTCACTCAAATCGGGCTAAGAAAAGCATAAAAATACAATTTTTAATTTATTTCAAAGTATATTTCTTAACTATCTTTGCATATGATATTTTTTTGTTTAAAGTGCCCAAGCTCATTTATGTAAGAAATTCAAATGTTAGGTTTTTAGGCTTTTAAACCTCAGTGGAGTCCATTTAACCTTTGTGTACTGGAATTTGCCTTCATTTGAAAATTTGGAACAGCCTAATCAAAGTTTAAGGGATGCCAATAACAAAATATAAAATTGAACTACCAACACAGACAGACAAAGATAAATCATATTTGGTTCCTGGTACAAAAAGTAGCTTAAAGGCTAGCAGGAATAAAAATTTGCCTTTACAACTAATATAGAGCCATGTCACCCTACACACCCAGCATGTTCTCTTACCAGGCTCAATACTAATTACCTGCTCAAATTCAGTATTTTACCGAAATCCCTTAAACAACCGATTGACTGTTCCAAATTCATAAGCAGGACAAGTCCATTTCACAAGTTTATCATTGTAAAAGGTTAATTATAACTAACAGAATATTATTATACAGATTCTGACTGCATGAGGTGTCATTATTAACAACAAAACAGCTGGATTTTTAATTAGCAAATACTAATAACATATTTAATGTACATGATGTGTAGTATGTTTTATTTACCATGGTGATATATACTTGGATTTATTTATATTATAGAGAATTGTTACCGAGCGTGATTCTTTACGGGAAGTGACGGAGGAACTGAAATGTACGCAGGCTGTGAATGTAGGTGCGGGGGCCGGCGATGATCTCTCAGCCACGTCACAAATGGAGATGTTGTCATTACCACCAGAAATCAAGTAAATCTTACAATTAAAGTGCTTTAACAATTTCATTTTATATTGATCAATGAATTGTCAGTAAGATATAAAAAAAATATCTGTCACTGTGTTTTCTTCATAATGATTAAGTGTTTTGTAACTAAAAGCAAAAGGAATATTTGAAATTTTCACTGCCACTAACAATAATGTATTAGAGATTTAACAACTTTACAATGAAATATTTGAAATTTTACCACCATTAAGAAGAAATATTAGAAATTTAACCACCATTTACAACTAAATTTATGAGATTTACCATGATTTTTAAGCATATACTTAATACGGTTCTTTAAAGTGTAAAGAATATGTTTAAATTCTAATCTTAATATCTATTATAATTCTTTTAAAAAGCTTTCATTAAAGAAAGGAGAAATATTATTGCGGGAAAAATCATAGTTAAGTTTTGTGACTTTTACTAATGTCTTGCCTATATTGTTCTGCAGAGAAAAAATTTTAAGATTGGAGCATGAAAACAAAATGTTGAAGTTGAAGAGTTCTGGTGACAATGATGAGCAGTCCCAGGTTATACAGACCATGTTAGATGATGCTAACAGTAGAAAAAATGAACTTGAAACTGAGATTAGGTAGGTTTTGGTGACTTTTGACCATATTAGATTATGCTAAGAGTAGAAAAAATGAACCCAAATAACATAAATAATGTAAAGACATAATCAGTTTGTACAGAAAAGAAATAGAATTCGGTTCTTACTTGATTCTGGAAGACTAAAAGCAAAGTAAGTAAAAGCTTATTTTATTTATACTGGCTTCTTTCTTTTGTAAATCTACATACAAATGTGTAATGTATTCCAGCAGTCCAGTATGTCATATAAGTTGTATAAACTGTTATATAGTCATCTTAGTGCAGTAATGGGTTAATTCCTATATGGCACTTATTTGTTTCTGCACTGTGACGACATGAACAATACAAAATATCATCTTATTAAAAATACAAAACACAAAACCACTGACTAAACTCTAAGTGCTTTCTCTAGGTAGCTAAGTTGGCAATATTAATGCTAGAATTTGATCATATGATATAGATTAGCTAACCAAAAGACAATGGAGTTGGAGGCCCAGATCGAAGATTTACAAGAAATGGCAAAGTCCACGGTATCAAACACGGAAATGATTGATCTTAGAAAAAAATTGGACGAACAGGTTCTGCTTACTCAGCAAAAAGACAAACTTATTCAAAAGGAGCGTGATAGTATATTAGAAGTGCAAAAAGAGTTGACTGCTCAAAGTGAAGAAGTTGAAAAGTTACGTGATAAAATTGAAAAGAAAGAAGAAGAGAAAAGAGTCATGGAGGAAAGATATAAGAAATATTTTGATAAAGCTAGATCTGTAAGTATTAATCCTTTTTTATATGCCCGAAAGGGCATATTATGTTACCCCCTTGCCTCTGTCCGTCTGTTAGCAATTTGGTTTCCGGAGCATAACTAAGATTCCATTTGGCCCACAATATTCAAACTTCATAGGATGATTGTCCATATTGGGTAAAAGACCCCTATTGATTTTGGGGTCAAAAAGTCAAAGTCACTATTACCTTAAAACTGAAAACAGTTTTCGAAAACAGTTTCCGGAGCATAACTTAAGTTCTATTTGACCCACAATATTCAAACTTCATAGGATGACTGTCCATATTGGATTAAAGACTCCTATTGATTTTGGGGTCAAAAGGTCAAAGGTCAAGGTCACTATTATCTTAATACTGAAAACAGTTTCCGGAGCATTACTTAAGATCTATTTGGCCCACAATATTCAAACTTCAAAGGATGATTGTCCATATTGGGTAGAAGACCCCTATTGATTTTGGGGTCAAAGGTCAAGGTCACTATTACCTTAAAACTGTAAACAGTTTCCGGAACATAACTCATGTTCCATGTGGCCCACACTATTCAAACTTCATAGGATGATTGTCCATATTGGGTAGAAGACCCCTATTGATTTTGGGGTCACAAGGTGAAAGGTCAAGGTCACTATACTGAAAACAGTTTCCGGAGCATAACTTAAGTTCCATTTGGCCCACAATATTCAAACTTCATAGGATGATTGTCCATATTTGGTTAACAACCCCTATTTATTTTGGGGTCAAAAGATCAAAGGTCAAGGTCACTATTACCTTAAAACTGAAAACAGTTTCGTATACTATGCTCATCTTTGGGTAAAATATTTTTATCTCAGAAATGTATTGAAATCCATGATATTCATACAGAATATGTTTTATTCGAATAAAATAATGAATAAACTATGTATTGGAAGCTGCATTCTTTATTACGGGTCAAGTAAAGTTGGTCTTTTCTTTAAAAAACTGCCAGTTTTTTTAATGACACTATATATTCATATTGTGACTACCTGTAGCTTGTAGAGTTCAAAACATAACATATCTACTTAAAATTAAGTCAAAACATGTTTATTTTATACATACAAAGATACTGTGTAGCATTTATCAATATTTTTAAAAATCAAATTTGAGCATAGTATATCTTTAAGTTCTATTTAACCCACAATATTCAAACTTCATAGGATATTTGTCCATATTGGGTAGAAGACTCCTTTTGATTTTGGGGTCAAAAGGTCAAAGGTCAAGGTCACTATTACCTTAATACTGAGTTCCATTTGGCCCACAATATTCAAACTTCATAGGATGATTGTCCATATTGGGTAGAAGACCCCTATTGATTTTGGGGTCAAAAGGTCAAGGTCACTATTACCTTAAAACTGAAAACAGTTTCCGGTGCATTACTTAAGTTCTATTTAACCCACAATATCCAAACTTCTTAGGATGATTGTCTTTCTTGTGAGGAAGACTCCTATTGAGTTTGGGGTCAAAATGTCAAAGGTCAATGTCAAGTTCCATTTGGCCCACAATATTCAAACTTCATAGGATGATTGTCCATATTGGGTAAAAGACCCCTATTGATTTTGGGGTCAAAAAGTCAAAGTCACTATTACCTTAAAACTGAAAACAGTTTTCGAAAACAGTTTCCGGAGCATAACTTAAGTTCTATTTGACCCACAATATTCAAACTTCATAGGATGACTGTCCATATTAGATTAAAGACTCCTATTGATTTTGGGGTCAAAAGGTCAAAGGTCAAGGTCACTATTATCTTAATACTGAAAACAGTTTCCGGAGCATTACTTAAGATCTATTTGGCCCACAATATTCAAACTTCATAGGATGATTGTCCATATTGGGTAGAAGACCCCTATTGATTTTGGGGTCAAAGGTCAAGGTCACTATTACCTTAAAACTGTAAACAGTTTCCGGAACATAACTCATGTTCCATGTGGCCCACACTATTCAAACTTCATAGGATGATTGTCCATATTGGGTAGAAGACCCCTATTGATTTTGGGGTCACAAGGTGAAAGGTCAAGGTCACTATACTGAAAACAGTTTCCGGAGCATAACTTAAGTTCCATTTGGCCCACAATATTCAAACTTCATAGGATGATTGTCCATATTTGGTTAACAACCCCTATTTATTTTGGGGTCAAAAGATCAAAGGTCAAGGTCACTATTATCTTAAAACTGAAAACAGTTTCGTATACTATGCTCATCTTTGGGTAAATATTTTTATCTCAGAAATGTATTGAAATCCATGATATTCATACAGAATATGTTTTATTCGAATAAAATAATGAATAAACTATGTATTGGAAGCTGCATTCTTTATTACGGGTCAAGTAAAGTTGGTCTTTTCTTTAAAAAACTGCCAGTTTTTTTAATGACACTATATATTCATATTGTGACTACCTGTAGCTTGTAGAGTTCAAAACATAACATATCTACTTAAAATTAAGTCAAAACATGTTTATTTTATACATACAAAGATACTGTGTAGCATTTATCAATATTTTTAAAAATCAAATTTGAGCATAGTATATCTTTAAGTTCTATTTAACCCACAATATTCAAACTTCATAGGATATTTGTCCATATTGGGTAGAAGACTCCTTTTGATTTTGGGGTCAAAAGGTCAAAGGTCAAGGTCACTATTACCTTAATACTGAGTTCCATTTGGCCCACAATATTCAAACTTCATAGGATGATTGTCCATATTGGGTAGAAGACCCCTATTGATTTTGGGGTCAAAAGGTCAAGGTCACTATTACCTTAAAACTGAAAACAGTTTCCGGTGCATTACTTAAGTTCTATTTAACCCACAATATCCAAACTTCTTAGGATGATTGTCTTTCTTGTGAGGAAGACTCCTATTGAGTTTGGGGTCAAAATGTCAAAGGTCAATGTCAAGTTCCATTTGGCCCACAATATTCAAACTTCATACTATGAAGTTCATAGGATGATTATGCATATTGGGTAGAAGACCCCTATAGATTTTGGGGCCAAGGTCAAGGTCACTATAACCTTAAAACTGAAAACAGTTTCCAGAGCAGAACTATAGTTCCATTTGGCCCACAATATTCAAACTTCATAGGATGATTGAACATATTGGGTAGAAGACCCTTATTGATTTTGAGGTCATAAGGTCAAAGGTCAAGGTCACTATTATCTTAATACTGAAAACAGTTTCCGGAGCATAACTTAAGTTCCATGTGGCCCACAATATTTTAAACTTCATAGGATGATTGTCCATATTTGGTAAACAATCCCTATTGATTTTTGGGTCACTAGGTCAAAGGTCAAGGTCACAATTACTTAAAACCAAAAACAGTTTCTGGAACATAACTCAAGTTCCATTTGGCCCACAATATTCAAACTTCATAGGATGATTGTGCATATTGGGTAGAAGACTGCTATAGATTTTGGGGTCACAAGGTCAAAGGTCAAGATCACTATTTCCTTAAAACTGAAAACAGTTTCCGGAGCAGAACTAAAGTTCCATTTGGCCCACAATATTCAAAATTCTTAGGATGATTGTCAATATTAGGTTAAAGACCCCTATTGATTTTGGGGTCACAAGGTCAAAGGTCAAGGTCACTATTACCTTAATACTGAGTTCCATTTGGCCCACAATATTCAAACTTCATAGGATGATTGTCCATATTGGGTAGAAGACCCCTATTGATTTTGGGGTCAAAAGGTCAAGGTCACTATTACCTTAAAACTGAAAACAGTTTCCGGTGCATAACTTAAGTTCTATTTAACCCACAATATCCAAACTTCTTAGGATGATTGTCTTTCTTGTGACGAAGACTCCTATTGAGTTTGGGGTCAAAAGGTCAAAGGTCAATGTCAAGTTCCATTTGGCCCACAATATTCAAACTTCATACTATGAAGTTCATAGGATGAAGATGCATATTGGGTAGAAGACCCCTATAGATTTTGGGGCCAAGGTCAAGGTCACTATTACCTTAAAACTGAAAACAGTTTCCAGAGCAGAACTATAGTTCCGTTTGGCCCACAATATTCAAACTTCATAGGATGATTGAACATATTGGGTAGAAGACCCTTATTGATTTTGAGGTCATAAGGTCAAAGGTCAAGGTCACTATTATCTTAATACTGAAAACAGTTTCCGGAGCATAACTTAAGTTCCATGTGGCCCACAATATTTTAAACTTCATAGGATGATTGTCCATATTTGGTAAACAACCCCTATTGATTTTTGGGTCACTAGGTCAAAGGTCAAGGTCACAATTACTTAAAACCTAAAACAGTTTCTGGAACATAACTCAAGTTCCATTTGGCCCACAATATTCAAACTTCATAGGATGATTGTGCATATTGGGTAGAAGACTGCTATTGATTTTGGGGTCACAAGGTCAAAGGTCAAGATCACTATTACCTTAAAACTGAAAACAGTTTCCGGAGCAGAACTAAAGTTCCATTTGGCCTACAATATTCAAACTTCTTAGGATGATTGTCCATATTAGGTTAAAGACCCCTATTGATTTTGGGGTCACAAGGTCAAAGGTCAAGGTCACTATAACCTTAAAACTGAAAACAGTTTCCGTTCAATAACTTAAGTATTAATCAACCTACAGCTGTAAAATTTTATAGGATGAACAGCTAATTCCCATGTCTTAAAAATGCTTCATCCTTACTTAAAAAAAAAACACTTTTGGGCATATAATGCTCCGCCTAGCGGTGCTCTTTTTCAACTTGTCTGTTTTGAAGATAAAGTCAAGCTTTTATGATCCCTGCGTCATCTTTGTGCGTGCTGTCCTTGTCTTGGTGCAAAAACTTTAATTTAACTACATGTAATTACCCAAACAATTTTATAGGTATCAATATGAAACTTGGAATTCCTGCTTATCATGACAAGGTGCAGTTATAAAACAAGAGGCATTATTCTGAAAGATATAATTTATAATTTATGCCCCATTTTAACTTAGAATTTTTGTCAAAATTAGTTATTGATACTCTTTGCCTGTTAACTCTGCATGCGGTACTGTTGTATTAAATCTTAATCTGCTGAATTTCTGAGGGAAGTCTCTTGCTATAAGGCAACATTAAAAAGTAAGCTCAAAGTCCAATCAAGAAATAAAATGTTCAACATATTTGTTTATTGCTTTTTCAATTAGGTGATAAATTCATTGGAAGCCAAGTCTAAATCAGGAAACAATTACCACGATGTTCAAGCCTTAAAGCAACAGATACAAGAAAAAGACAAGCTTATAGAGCAACTTCAGGTGAATAATTGTTTCCTTTTAATCTTTAGAATGAATTATGTATCAGAAGAAGTAGAATTCTATAAGACTCAAGTTTTCCATTATGTAAAAATATTTTGTTTGTTGATTTCTTATACTTTCTTATAGACTTACTTGTGTACATAGACTTACTAGTGTAAGAAAACAATAATCTTTTATGCATATTTATCTTTGGTGTGATGGAATTGAAAAAGATTGTCTTTTGCCACTAGTACCAGGGCATAATTACCCAATCACCAGGGTCTGATATAAGGCCCAATTCACAGTCTACATAGCCTAATTTCCAAAGAAAAAGATCCCAACAGCAGCCAAAATTTGACACTGATTCAACTTCTTAGAAATATTGAACTGATTTGACTTGTTTCTTAAAAGAAAAGACAGCTTTTATGATCATACTCATGTTAAAGACCATACATGTCATGTGTAAGGTAATTCTAAGGGAAAGTTCCTAAATTACCCGTTTTTTTATGTGTTTTTTTTTCTAATTTATGCCAAGGGCCTTTTCCCAAAATATCTGGAAAAGGTATATATAGTATAGCAAAAGGCCAGACTGCATAATAATAGCTAATTTTTTTTCATTTTAGTATAATAGTCCCTTCAGTTTGAATGGACCATACCAAAATGAAAGCAGGGCAAATCGATTATCGAAATTGATCGGGTTAAAGGTTAATTCTCTATTTGTTGTTACAGAAAGATCAGGAGAAAAGTAAAAACACATTTGAACAAGAAGAGAAGATGATGGTATCTGCCTGGTATAATCTGGTAAGTAAATCTTTGATTGAATCAGAGAATCCGCTTAGTAAAAATGTTTTTTTCCATCTTTTATCTGGAAAAGGGCCACATATTTCACCCATTGTAAGGAAAAGTGCCATGTTTTTCATCCTTTGTAAGGAAAATGCCCATTAATTATAATACAATATATATAAATTTAATGATTTTTAACACAGAACAACAATAATGTAGATGTTTCTCTGGGAAGGACTGTTATTATAATTGTGTCAAAGGGAGAGCATTCTTGTGGTTTTATTTGAACCAGTTTAAAATAATAATTAAAGTTTGCAATCTTCAATAAATTCTGTATATTTTATTTATACATGTATTAAACCCTTTGGAAGGAATATCTCATATCTAACAATGAGTTAAATTTTGTCATTTTAGGATGACAGTTTGATGCAGGTTAATTAAAGTTTTATTTTAAGAACACAGTTGCTTGCTAGAGGAAAGGAAAATGCTTTTTGTCTTCTTAATTCAGGACTTTTTATGGGTTTTTTTTCCGGTCAATTTATGTTGTTATTATAGAATTTTTATCAGCAACAGAAAGTTCTTTTATTTGTCTAAGGGGCAAGTTTGTTGACTTCAAACCACATGCCTATCAACGCTGTGAGTTTGAATCATGTTTGGCACTTAGGATATCATCATGTTAGGAAGCTATCAAGTGAGCTTATGTAGTGTTAGTGGTTGTACTTAAGTCCCAGCTTGGCCTAAAAAATATGCACTAAGGGTCACCTGAGGTCTTCCTCCACCAGTAAAGCTGGAAAGTCGCCATGACCTCTTCTGTGTTAGTTTGACGTAAAACTCAACCAAAAATAAAATATATATATTCATGATTTATATCATAAGTTATATTATATTCTATTTTGATGATTATATATCTTTATTACTGTAAACTTTATGTGTTATTTTAGGAAACTTATAGTTTCTTTGGTACATTGATAATTAGTAGTGATTAGAGTAGTGATATTTTCAGGCTCTCCAGGGTTCCCAGTGTTTTCTAAAATGCTTCTCACATTCATAGTTTTTGTGATAATGTCCAATTTTGTGAGATTATATATCATTTTATGAATCATTTATGTATTAAACAATTTACGGATAAGTTGGCGGTTCCATTCAGGTGCCTGTATGTGCCTGAAATAATTCACTGAAGGGCACCTGAGGTTTTCCTTTATCAATAAAGCTGGAAAGTCGCCATATGACCTATACAGAACTGTGTTGGTGCAACCATACAAAAAAAGAAAGATAAAAAAAGTAAAATAAAAAGATTAAAAGAAATAATGAGAATTTTAATGGTATGCATATTTTATAATTGCAGGGTATTCAGCTTCATCGTCAGGCAGCCATTGACAGACTGGAGAACTCACAACCAGGTCAAGCATTTCTATCACGACAGCGTCAGGCGCATTTACGAGGGCAGCCGCGTATACCAAACTCCCATAATAACCCATCAAGGTGATTCATAGATATACATGTTATAAATATAAATATATATGATTTTCCAAAATATTGTGATACATTTTCATATGTATTGTACCAGTATACCTTTATTTTGATACTCCTCTTTTGATATTATGATTTTTATTTTCTTAAACTTTAGCAGGTGTATGATTTTATATGATTAAGGTATTTTTTTTAGAATTTATAAAATATATAAGTTATACAATTTTAGTAAATGAAAGTTACTTAAAAGTCTTTATGATTCTAATGTATTTCTTTAAAGTTTGGATAAGTTACAAGGTTTACCAAAAATTTATCTATCAGTTAGTTAATTATTTAGCATCTAGAACTGTTGGGGTTTTATTTCTAATGTTAGGTTGTTTTTATCTGTGTCCAACAATTTTCTAATAACAGTTGATAAAAATAAGATTAATATTTTTCTGAACATAAGAATTTAAAGCACATTTTTTATTTTAATTTTTTTTGTACTGGCATTATTATTATTATAATTTTTTTTATTTTTTTATGTGTACCAGTAGTTTAATTGTTTTCTGTAAATATTCAATCATCCTGAAGGCATATATTAAAGGTAACTTTTTGTTAACAATGAACAATTTGTAATGGTTTTTTTTTCCTTTTAGTTTTATTGAGTTCTTTATTCATTTATTTTAACCACAACTTTTTTTTATTCACTTGTAAATAGATTTCCCCCTTAAGCCCAAGGGAACACTTTCATTTTATCCTCGTGTTTTATAGAAAGAACAAATGTTGCAAAGCTTTTACTTAGTCAATGGCTATTAAACTTATTTAAAATTAAGTACCAGTCTAAAAACCTTAAATTTGATTGGTTGGTTCTAAAAATAGATTTAGAACTGTCCAATGGCAAAGTTTCTCTGTTAGACTGGTCCTCAGATTTATTTTAATTATCTTCTACCATAGCATTTGTGCAATAAGGAATAAGCCTCAGTACTACTGCATGCTGTCTCTTTTAAAGGCATTGTCAGAAAGCGAGTCTGGAAGAGCTAAAGGAGTACCATCATATTTATTGAAATTTCAGTGAATTTAAATATTTCATACAGTTTATTGAATCAGAATGTTTTAACTTCTTTCTTTTGGAATGGTTATAGCCTTTTGCAAGAATGAGTGTGAATATAACACCCTTGTATAGTTTGCCAACACCCTTGTATAGTTTGCCTGTTTAATTAAATGTGGATTATAGTATATTGGTTACTGTCATTATATGTGTAACTTGCCGGGCATACAGTACTGCATCTGCTTCAATAGCCTTTCTCCTCTTGTCTGCAAGCACAAACTGCTCTATTTTACCATTCCATCATGGAAATTTCTGTTTTCTACATGTCGATTCTAGATTAAAATAAAATCATAGTAACCTTCTTCAATTAAAACATACTATCTTATTGAGATGGACTTAAAAAAGAATTATTCTCTTTATTTTTTCTCAAACAATTATTTGTGCTTGTAGGCTAGTCTTGATTAAATGTGAAATCATACAGAACATGTTCTCACTGTATTTACCAATCTTTTACTAAAAATGCATTTTCTCATTCATAATTCTAGTCTTTGGAGATGCAGCTTGAAACCTAACAACAAAAATTTAAAATAAAGAAATATTTATTTTCATGTAACTGGATTCTTTACAAGTCCAAAGCATTTGACCAAGTAGATTATTATATGATAAGATACGGATATGGTTTAAAATGATTTCACAATTGTCTGTGTGTATAACCAGTGTAATATGCTTGCTGAGTGTATGATTTATAGCATGGATTATTTATATAAATACTTTGTTGATCTACAGGACCTTTAATTTCGACCCCAAAATATCTAATATCCGTCATTGAGACTCAAATGTAGAAGGAATCATCTCTTATAAATCTTTTAAAAAAATTCTTTTTTTTTCCAGTAGTAAATAAATAATCCATGCTGTAAAGTCACTTTTGGTGTGTGTGACCTTTATTTTCCCAGTGATCTTGACCTGACCTCAACTTCCTGTCTGTCAGCGAATCAGAATAGTTCAATTGTTGATGGGTGCTTTACCTCCCTGTTTGACTGTTTACTCATGAAGCTTAGAGACGAAGTCCTTTCCAAAGAGGTTTTGGACACTTTAGAAGATATAAGACCAGCAGTTGTTCATTCTCAACTCCTTTCTGGGCTTCTTGGAGAAAACAATGAAGAATTAGGCCTTACAGAAGAATCTGAAGATTTTGCTGAAGTCCCTGATACTCCAGAAGTTGATAAAAAGTCATACAAAAAGTTGGACAGGTCACGTGTTCCATTGCTTTCGCACTCTCTTAGTAGTCTAGTAACTCCTCTAAAATCTGTTGGTAATGACACTATTGATGATATCAGTAATAAGCAACATGCCTCAATAAATGAAACTGACATTTATATGAAGCAATCAGACAACTTTGGGGAAATGGAATCTGAAGTTTTTCTAGATGTAAATGAAGCAGTAAACAATGATACAGAAACTGATGAAATTGTTGGGAATCAAACTGCTGTAGACTCCAGAGCTGACAGTAAAGATTCAATACCTGACACCAAAGAAAATGGTACAACACTTTTTAACACAATTGGTACTTTTAACAAAGTGAACATTAAGGAAACAGACAATGAAAAGGAATTGGGCAATGAAGATGTTGCCAGTGTCAGTAATGCTTCTTTTGCGCAAAATAGTTTCTTTGAACAGCTGGAAAAGTTTGAAGCTGAAGATGGGGAATATTTTGACATGGATAAACATTATACACTTACTAAAGACGTTCAAAATGCAGATGCAGTTCTTGGAAATGCTGGTGAATTAGAAAATATTACTTATTCCCTTGGTGACAAGTCTGAAGATATGGCTTATGCATTGAGATCACCAACCAGTGTTGGTATTGGCCCTCTAGGTAAAGTGGAGCAGTTTACACCTCTAAGAAATAAACCTGAAAATGTTCCAATACATCTTCAGTCACCATTTGTAAAGAAAATCCCAACAGATAGGGTAACTAAACGAAAATCAAGAAGGAAGCGAAAAATAGATACTAAAGATTTTGAAGAAGAGAATATGGAATCAAAACATATGTTTACTGGTTTTAAATCTGAAGAGTTCTTTGATTTGAATAGCAGCCCTGAAGTATTGTAAAAGACTAGCAAAGGCATTTTGGACTTTTTTTTTCTAAAACCTTGTTTTGTTATAAATGTTGTTTTAGTGTTAATTAAGCCGTGTTTTGAAGGTTTCGATTTTCAATAAGTTCATACAATTACATCTTTATTTAACAACTTGACAAAAGCCTAAAGACCAACAGTATCTTAAGTGTAGAGCTATGCTTCAATCAATGTAAGCAAAGATAATATTTGAATGACATGACAATTGTAAGTTTTACAATATATCTAATATCTATCTATTATCCACAGAACTGCTACTGTATAATATTATAAATCTATTCTATGTATTTTATCTAACTTTATATAATATGTAACCGTTTCGCTAGCAATTATTTCTTGTAAAATAGCTTCATGTAATGCTTCTAATGCTCTTAAATTACTCTTAACTTTTCTTCCATTTGCTTTCAGTGATTTTCTAGATTACTAACATTGGAGTTGGCTTTTTCTAACATCTGCTGAGTACACCTTACACACAGTGATGTTTCTTACATCTGCATGGTACTAGATGCACAGAGTGATATTATTAAGAACTAACTACTAGAATATGTTTGTACTGATCTTTATATAGGTTTGGATAATGATGTGCTAAAGTTTAAACAAATTGATGCTAAAATAATGTGCTACATATGTGTTTTCCAAACTGATGCATTTATTGTAGTTATAAAATGTAAGCTTGTAATTGTACTGGGAACTGGAGCTTGATAGTGAATGAGGACCTGTAGATGTAAAGGACAAAGGTTTTGAATTTGATTTCTAGGCTGGGTAAGGTTTGCCATCTTGGGACGAGGATATTTCAAGGGAATTTAATAAGAAAAATCAAACCAGTATCTTGACAATTAATCATTTTATTCATTGATCCATGTGACTAGGTGACTCCAGGGGGGGAAGTAATTTGAATGGAAAATACTCATATGGGGAAGTGACTCATGTGAGGAAGTGACTTTTGTTGGGAAATTGACAATGGTACTGAAAGATTGAGGTTAGAACTGAAATATTAGACATGGAAATAATTGTTTGTGGTAAATACAGGTACACGATATTTTGTGTTGTTAATATACTTAACTAAAAAAAACATCTCTTCATTGATTAAGGAGAATTTCATTCTCTCACATATAATTTTTCATCTCTCAGCATGTTACATTTTGATTGATGATTTTAACCTGCATTTATAAAGCATGGGAAAGCACAGTTAAATCTTGTTTATAGCTATAGCATTAATTCACTCAGAGGATATTCTGTATCCTAATCTAAATTTTATGTTCACTGCCATTGTAAGGGATGAATTATATTTTTGTCTCGCATAATTTATGTATATTTAATGAAAAGGAAGGTTTTTTTTTTTCTTGAAACCATTTTTGTATTTTTCAGAGTTATGTTAATAATGTTTTTTTGTTGGTTTTTTGTTGTTGTTTTTTTACAAAATCACCAAGAAAATTGTGCCCTGCAGTATTTGTCCTGTAAATTGAATAGTGAAGATTTTAAATAATTTAGACTAGTTTACTATTTTCTATACTGAAAAGCCTGTTGCACTTGATTGAAAGTCTAGGCTAATCTTTGTTGAATCTTTGTTGTAAAATAGTCAAAATACACCAAACATTCACCAGACTGTAGATTTCTAATTATAGAGTGAACAATTTAGTTTTTACATCATATTATTTTTTGGGAGGCGGTGGGGGAGTCCTTTTTCTAAATGCTACAGAAGAATTTAACATATAATCAAGTATAGTGTAGGTTTTACGTAGCCGACTTCTTCAACTTTAGTTTCATTTTATCAGAAAAAGCACATTGTTTAAAAGAATCATTCTGTTTCCTGTAGATTTATGTGAATTAGGTATTTTTCTATACATTTCAAGCCATATTGCACACTTTATATGTGGTTTTATTGTTAGCAATTTTATCACAGACAAATATTGTATATGATTATCATAGATTATGTTATCTTCATGAATGATGTAAATTTTCAGTAAATCATGCTTGCAGTGTTCATGTAAGAAGATATTGCCACAACTGATTGATTGATTGATTGATTGATTGATTGATTGATTGATTGATAATGTATTATTGTATATTATATCATCGTAAAATCAAAATGAGAATTTAATGTGCAATTGTCAAAATATTTTCAGCAAGTTATGAATTTTGTGTGTATGAATATGTGATATAAAAATGTGAGTCAGGAATAATGTCTTTGTTATGAACCATAATGTTGAAAATTGACCACTTTGAGGTGAAATTTATATGATAAAATTTCAACTTTTTTTCTTTTTTATAAGACATAGTCTAGTTTATACAGTATCAAAACCAGCTAAAATGTTACACTTCTTACTATAAAACTATAAAAATATATTGACTTCAAAATTTGAAATAATATGGGAGAGTATTGCACCTTTGTGATATTTTTCAACTATTTTCTCCTATTTTAGACTATACTGAAACATATTGCTATGTAACACTGACATAACCAGAAAAATCATTGATGGAAAAATAATGATAATAAAAGATAGAATACATGTTCACTTAATGTTAAATTTGAAATAAAATGGGGTAGTATTATTGCACCTTTTGAAAGATTTTATGAATATTTTATGATTATTTCAATGTTTATTTTGCATTCAAAATTTGTCATTTCGTTGATTTCAGATATGTGTTGATTTATGTGTGCTTTACATTAAATACATGTACTTCTTTATAATACAGGGTGTTTTGTATAAGTTCAAATTTTCTTCCTTCAAATCTATGGTGATATTTTCTTTAAATATTTGTTTAAAATTTATATTTTCCCCATTTTAGTTTATGTATAAGAGATCTTAATAAGTGCACAAATTTATCATGTGTCACGTGGTAGGTGTTTGATTGATTGATTGATTGGTTGATTGATTTATTGATTGAAAAATTTACAAAACACAGTGAACATTGTATAGCCTGGTCATACCACATTGACATACAGAATGTCCTGGCTCTATACTGGTGGCAGGCAAGGGTTAATAACTTTCAGTTCAGATAAAAGGTTAAAATATTTGCCAAGTTAGAAGGTACCAAGTGCCACAACCATGTTTTCCTACTATCACATCAGTACAGGTCAGTTCCCGAAAATAGACTTGAGAGTGGTTCAAAAAAAGTTCTCGAAGCTTTCAAAACAATCAAGCTAAAATAGTTCCGTTTAATAAATTAATAAGCAATGGGTGTTTATTCACTGATGGAATTGTGTTAAAATGATGAGATTTTATAAAATTGTTTTTAGTGTTTTATACACAAGGACATGGTTTAAAATGGTTGTTTATTCATGAATTCATATAAGTATATTTACCAGATTTTCACCAAGCTTTCAATGTCAAAGATATTTTTGTTTTTTAAATGAGAAATTTTTAATGCTCATTTTAAGTGTTAAGCTGGGGGGGGTGAAATTGTAAAACTTTGTATGTTATTTTTCTTCATTTCTTTTAAATTTGCAACAATTTTGCATTAGGTCCTTGAACGTATGTGTAATTTTTTTTTCCAATTTACATTTTCGTGATTTTTTTATATGCATTATAAAACATTCATTTATTGTTGAGTGAAGAAAAGAGATTCTGTCATTTATGTGTAGTTTATTTTTTCTTTTGCTAGATAAATTAGTAAATTGATGTTACATACTTGCCATATTGGTCATGGAAATTGTGTTATTTATTATTTCAAATTTTATCATGAATGGATATATACCAGAGATTGTGGCAGAGAAAGTTTGTTATTCATATTAAGCATATTATAAATGAAAAAAAATGCCCCAAATTTCGATGACATTTTGTATAATAAAAGATGTTAAAATTTCTAATAAAATGTTTCTCGTTATTTAATTAACTTTTTGGACCTATTTTGATCCCAATCCCCCAACCCCTGATCCGGTGCATATTTGTTATAGCCCTAGCTGTGTCTGTCACTCTACAGACATTTGAAACTCACCTTAAACCTGCTGTTTCTTGTTGTTGATTTTTTGTTTTTGTTTTTTTTCCTTCATTCCAATGATTTTATTGATGATTTTGCGTTATCGTAAACAATAAACAGGTTAGTTTTGATTTCAGCAAGTGATTGAGCAAGAAAGGTTGTTTTTTTATCGTACAAAAAGATTGACATAAAATAATCATTGTTTTTCAATAATTCCCTCGTTTACACTGTATTTATGGAGCCGTTTTTACTTGAAATCCTGATATAATAAACTTGTTGTAATACCTTTGTAATATCAATACAGATTTGGTTCGATTTTCCGCTCCACTTATACCTGGGCTTAGCAAATCCTAGTAAAAGACAATTAATAGAATACTAAGGGCGCTATAGCTGACAAGTATGGTAAATGAAAATCACCATAAACCAATTGCTGTTTCTAGTTTGTTTTTTCTTCATTTCCAATGATTTTGTTGATGAATTTTTGTTATCATAAACAATAAACAGGTCAGTTTTGATTTCAGCAAGTGATTGAGCAAGAAAGGTTTTTTTTATCGTACAATAAGATTGACATGAAATCATTGTATTTCAATAATTCCCTCGTTTACACTGATTTATGGCCGTTTTTACTTGAAATCTGATATAATAAACGTTGTTGTAATACCTTTGTAGATCAATACAGATTTTGTTCGATTTTCCTCCACTTATACCGGGCTTACAATCGTAGTAAAACTATAGAACAACAAGCGCTAAATAGCTGATCAATATTGCCAAACAGTTGACTTAGAACGTTACTTCCTCTGACTCGTAGCTTGCGAACTCTTTTTGCCATACTTTAAATATACTCCCTAATTTTTTTGTAGTTTTAAGCTCGACTGCACAAAGAATAGGGAGAACTATTTTAATCACCCAGGCGTCGGCGTCATACTTTGATTAGGATTTTACGTGCAAGTTTGGTATCTTAAAAACTGGAAGGGAATGGGTTGCATGGGTTAAAACTTCACACACATATTTGAGAGCAGATTTAAACATAATTATGGCCCTGTTTGAACTTTAAAAAAATCTACATTCTCCTGTTGTTTTACTATCGAGCAATGAGGAACGTCCAGCACGCTGTCCTACCGAACACATAAGCCCAGTTTGTACTGCACTCTAAGGCCAATGCGTTCGTTTTGTTTTGTCACCACAATAGATGGAAATATGTGTTAGACCTGTAAGAGGTATTTGCCCAATCCCCACTAATTCCAAGATGGTTTACGTAACCAACATTTTATATGATTTGGCAGTGCGAGGAGAATGGTCAGAAGCCCAAAGTATTGTGTTGCAAAAGAAACTACCCAAATCAACTAGCAAACCCTTTGTGACGAAGTCCTAACGGTGAACTAGCTGCGGTTACAGATTGGACTTTTGCAGAAGGAAAAATGAAATATAATAGCAACAGCTTAATCGAGCCAAAAAATAGCATGGTGTTGTTGTTATTTTTGTTTTCAAATGCAATAATGATGTTAGTTGTGAATTAATATTTGTTATAACCACGCATCCTGTTATTTTTTATATTAAAATTTTACCTTCGAATCTAATCAACCGGACAGGATATTTTTACTGTCACGCGTATCTTTGGGCAAACGTCCAGATTCCTTAGCGATTCAATTTCACCAACAGTTATTTTCACAGTATGATTATCGCGACGATTTTGTTACCCTTATGTGTTAACTAACTTAAATTTGCGGATAAGTTGCGACAAAATTCGGTTTTGTATCACATTAAGGCAGTTTATTGACAGTATCGAATCGTCTGCTTATATTTATTACAGTTGTGCGCTTTAGTCAATTATAATGATATGTTAATTTTGGCCGTAAAAATGTAAATTTTCATTAAAGCTATCTGCTATGGTTGTGAACAGTACGTAGGTATAATTTGTGAAGATATTAATTTGATATCCGAGAACCAGTCAACTGTGGAGCGCACCTAGTCTATAAAACAATAAGTACGTCACAGACGATGCATTTTGAAGTAGTTTTAATAATGGCTTTAATTGTTTTAAAGTAATTTGAAATGAAACTTGTTTGGAATTTGATATCGCAGTTAAAATAATATATACTCTGTTTGGAGTTAAACAGACAACTTGAGTGGATTTTTAGAGACGGCACAGAATAAATAAGAGAAGGTGTGTATTTAAAAAGGATTTGGAATTTTTACAAAATATGTAAGTAGATTTTAGCTTAACCACATAAAATTGTCAAATTCGTTGTAATTTTGTCATGTATAAAAAGTTTCAAGAGAACTGATTAACAGTTTGAAAGTTTTTTTTATAATAATGATTGTAGTGTGTCATGGAAAAAAATCACTTGGAGTTTTGCTGTAAAATATTAGCTTGCGAGGGCGTGTATGTAGGCTTATATAGGTAAAACTTAAGTAGACCTTTGATCCATTACTCAGCCGTTATATATTCCGATTAATAGGTCTTAAAGAATTTTATTTTTAATGTGCACCAAACCATATTGAAAACATTAGATAATTCGTCCTTATTCTATAATAGGTGTAAACATGGCTAAAGCGATAGTGGAGAGTATTAAAGAATTTGAAATCAAGAAAGAGTTTCGTGAAGTAAAATTAAAAACACGGCAGTCATTCAGGGAGGATCAGGCGGCCTTGGAGAGAAGGTTGTCGAGGAGAGAACCCAGAATGTCAACTGGTGTCAAAAACGGGCATACCGGAAATGGACATGTCGTAAAGTGCGGAACAGATTCAGCAGACGACAGTGTTCTCTCAAAACTTGAAAGTATAGTCGTAGATTTAGGAGCAGAGAAAGATATAGAACACAAAGATTCAAAAGATGAAATTATTGTTGTAGATAATGTAGAATCACGGTCACGGATTAATTCGATGGATAATAATGTAGTTCTTAGTGACGATAGCGGAAATAATCGACAAGTTAGTAGTACAATAAAAGTTAAACCTGACAAAGTACCTGTGTCGCATCAAAACGGTCATAGTTATACACATCAGCATAAAATGAACGGGACAGCTCCAGCTAAAGGAGTTATACCAAATGGACATACATTTTTACATAATGGTCAAACTTCCGCTCCTTCGAATTTTCTTGTGGGGACAACCGGAAATAGGCACTTAGCAGCCGCAATGACACCGGAACCAAGAATAAAATCTTTTAAAGGAATTTATCAGAAGAATCCAAAATTAACGGCAGCGTCAACAGAACATTTGGACAACATTTCATTAAAAGGATTCAAACCTTCTTTTACTTCTAGCCAAGGGTGAGTGTTATATTTCTTCATATGATTAAAATACGATAAAAAGTAAACGATTCATCAGCAAGGCAGGTGGAAGTTTTTTCATGCCATTTATGGAGAAGTTTATGCAAAAATTCGGGTGGTTTCTCAAGTCATTGCTAAGGGTTAGCTTGCATTTACCACAACTTTAGTCAAATCAAGCCCACATCATTTTCATTTTTTGTCGTTTTGTGTGTTCTTTAGGGATTCCGTTTTTCTCTATTTTATCCTGTCGGTCCCTTATTTTTTTATGTTCGACATTCAAATACCTTTAACTAACAAAGATAACTTAAATTAAAAAAAACCAAAGAAACGGAACATATCAGTTATATAAAATGACAACAACAATAACATAGAATAAAACTAACATAATTGTTATGCAGGAAACATGATTTTAACCTTTCTTCAACTGTATACAAGTCGACTGCATATATATTTCATTTGCATTAAATGTATACACGTGAATTACAAATTACCTTCATTGAAATTCGATTGTAACGTGTAATTAGATGTAACTTGAAACACAAATACCGTTTTGTCGCTGTCAAAATGGACGGGAATCTATCATATTTAATTGCCCGCAGGAAAAATCATTTAACTACATTAATTGTCTGGTAGCAAAAAATTATAATGGTTGTGAATTTTCTTTTCTTTTTCTATTTCTTTTTGTTTGTTTCGTTGTTGTTATTGGTGTGGGTGATGTTTGATAACGCCATTATCAAATAATGTACATAAAATATTGTTTGCCATCATTTTGTTCCAGTACAAACCCGATTTTCTGGGGAAAAAAACGTGACAACTTCCCCATTTCTAATAATTCTCAACTTTGCAACGTCAAAAAATTATTGTCAACTTCGAAATACCAAAGCTACGTAACCTGAATTAACTCTGAACTTCGCAGTCTCAAATAATTTTCAGTCTAAAATAATTGTCACCTCAAATAACTGTCAACTTCGCCAAATAAGACTACTGTATGATCTGTGAGATCGAATGGTGTTGAAATGATTGTACACAAAGTTTACAATCTGTTACTTTAATAATTGTCGCAAACGGGACATTTTAAAGTCTTTAGACATAACGCTATTACGGCAGAGCTGACATGTCTATTTCAATACGTAACATTTTACAAAAATACGTATATCTTTTTTTTAAAGGAGTTTGCTTTTTATCTGATATTTCGTTTTTTAAGGACTTCGCTAAGCGGATTTATCGGAACATAATACAAAGAGGTATTATGGTGGAATTAAACATATAAATCTAGATCGGGACAGTCTGGTCCTAATTTCTATAGTCTAGAAATTCATTCTTAAGTGATCAACATTCTTTTAGGAATTACAGTGATTAACCTTCTTTCCTTAGGTTCATGGGATTTTTAAAATCTGTCATAACTCGTATTTAAAAGATATCAAAATGAGCCGCGTCACGACAAAACCAACATAGTGGGGTTGCGACCAGCATGGATCCAGACCAGCCTGCGCATCCGCGCAGTATTATCAGAATCCATGCTGTTCGCTATCAGTTTCTCTACTTGTAATAGGGTTGGTAAGCGAGCAGCATGGATCCTGATCAGACTGCGCGGATGCGCAGGCTGGTCTGGATCCATGCTGATCGCAAACCCACTATGTTGGTTTTGTCGTGACGCGGCTCAAATGTTACTACATGATGATATCCGTCCGTACTTTATTGAAGATTTCAATATTAACATACATGAATATGTGGCATTATATTTTCAGATTTTTATATTTCGTGCCTAGTTTTTTCAAAAGTAACATGCAATTTTCTAAATTATCTCTGATATAAACATAAATTTATGTTGGACCGATTGATTTCTTGGCCATGTATTGGTTCATTAGTGTATGTCTATAATTTGAATTTTGCATATAATTGGCCCCAAAACTCGGAAAGCCTATGAATGTATAAGTAACAATGATTACACATGTTTTAGATATAATATTTGTAATGTTCGCTTTAAAGAAGTACGCCTCCAGATTCATGCTTATTATCATGAAACTTTTGAAAATGTATTTAAAAGTATAATATTTTGAGTTAACCAAAAGGAAGCATTTTACACATTATCAATGTCACTTACAACCGACGTAAATTACCAAAAAGTGGTAAAGATATGCATTAACAGCCTTAACTGCATTAGTAAGGAAGTAAATATACATGTATACTGTAAAACCAGTCATTAATCGCACATAACATGTAAATTATTACTTGAATTTTTACTTTTTCTAAAATCTTAGTACATTTTTCTCAAATTTGATTTTATTGAAATATTTGGCTCATTTGGAGGCATGGTGCTTTAAAATAGAATTGTAACACTTATTGTGGTCCCTTGTCAATGTTTAACAACGCTAAATGATCTCTCGATCTTATCACTGATCGAGTAACTATGGAAGCCTTGGAGGGTCACTTTTGAGTTTCGACTTATAGATTTATTTTACTATTTTCTTATGACTTTTGATTTGTGACTTTTGATTTATGACTTTTGATTTTTGAATTATGGATTTTGTTATTGTCCCACGTGCTTGCCTCATAATTTTCAAGGAAAATATGGCAGAATATTACAACGATTCAGATGAGGTAAGTTCATTTACTTAAGTTTACTGGAGACTTATTTAAAAAACAAAATATGTGGGCTCATATGCAAGAACAGAATGTTATTCTTATATAAGCCTTTTAATTAATTAGGAAGAGGAAATACTTTGCTTTATTTTGATTTCCGGAACAGGCATATATAACTTCAAATTGACATACAGCGTATGAATCAAACGCTTTATTTTTTATATGGGTTCCAGTTTTAAATCCAAATAAGTCTCGCATTGTTGTTGGCTGCAGTTTCAATCGGTTTTCACCCGTAGTTCATTCTTCTTATACTGAATATAAACCAAATTATAGGCCTTATTTTGACAAAGAAATTTATAGTTAAGAAGTTTCATGACAAATGGTGCTTCAAAAACAATAAATCATACAGCTTTGAAACTTCACATACTTGTTTAGAACACGCTCTAAGTTAGAAATTTTTGAATTACATTGTTATCAAATTATGCCTCTTTTTCGACTTTGAATTTATGGTTTAGAATTTTCATACTTATGCCCATTTTTAAAGCTAAAATGTTTTGTCAGAAGGTTTATGAAATATGGTCCCATAAACCAGTTATGCTATAATATTGAAACTTTATACACTTGTTCAGTATCAATAACTTAGGAAACCTACCAAGTACAAAGTACATGTTATTTGTATATAAACTTTTGTATACAGTTATGTATTAAGGGATTTTTCTGTATTTCATTTTGTATATATATGTATTTCATTTCAATTGAGATAACACATTCTTTTAATGTTTTTTGATTTTAATTCTAGTAAAGCTACCTGTAGGAATTAAGGACGTGCTGTCGAATGGTTTCATTTACAAAGCAGTTGCAAGAGCATCAGCAATACATATTTGTCAAGTTTTCGGAACCAGTTTAGAAGACTAAGAGGTTTCATTGCAAAACAGCGTTCCTTCCGAGTGGAAAGTAGTACAGTTTAGCAAATGCAAAATGTCCAAACACTTGTGATTTGGAATTATTCAGTCATTTTCGGAATACGAGTGTTACTTTTTCACACTTGTTTCAGACGCTCGATAATTTTCAAGTTTTAACCTCACCACTTATTGGAAACAAATAATGTCACCTCCCGCCACGTTTATTTTATCCTGTCCATATCATACGGAATGCCGTTAGGGCCATTGCCTATGAATGTGTTGATCTGAAACGCGATAGTCGATAGTACGATGGTGAAAACGCGAAATCACGAAACTACGATGGTGAAAACGCGAAAGTACGATGATGAAAACGCAATAGTACGATGATGAAAACGCGACAGTACGATACTACGATGATGAAAACGCGATAAATTATCGTGTTTTCACCATCGTACTGTCGCGTTTTCACCATCGTAGTTTCGTGATTTCGCGTTTTGATCATCGTACTGTCGTGTTTTCATCATCGTACTATCGCGTTTTCACCATCGTACTATCGCGTTTTCATCATCGTACTGTCGTTTTTTCATCATCGTACTATCGCGTTTTCACCATCGTACTGTCGTGTTTTCATCATCGTACTATCGCGTTTTCATCATCGTACTATCGCGATTTCATCATCGTACTATCGTGTTTTCACCATCGTAGTTTCGTGATTTCGTGCTTTCACCATCGTACTATCGACTATCGCGTTTCAGATTAACACATTCATAGGCGATGGCCCTAACGGCATTCCGGAATGCCGTTAGGGCCATCGCCTATCAATGGTTTGATCTGAAACGCGATACTCGACAGTACGATGATGAAAACGCGAAATCACGAAACTACGATGATGAAAACGCGACAGTACGATGGTGAAAACACGATAGTTTATCGCGTTTTCATCATCGTAGTATCGTACTGTCGCGTTTTCATCATCGTACTATCGCATTTTCATCATCGTACTTTCGCGTTTTCACCATCGTAGTTTCGTGATTTCGCGTTTTCACTATCGTACTATCGACTATCGCGTTTAAGATCAATACATTCATTGGCGATGGCCCTAACGGCATTCCGTAATATCACCAATATGGTATAAAACTTGTATCGATAGACAGGTCATGGTGAGACAGAGAAAAATGTGAAAAATCATGAATTCATAATTCTGGCTTTCATAATTTACAGTATTTGGCCATTGTAAATTTTAAAACTTATATGAAAGGTACCGAAACCAAACTTTGCATGTTCATAAAGCTTGGCGAGGCAGAAAGAAACATACTTCTTGCTTTCATAGCTAACATACATTTAAGAAACTCCCCTTTGTTGTGTGTGTGTTTTTTTGTTGTTGTTTTTTTCATACTTAGATTTTGTTAAACTCATAATTATCTCAAAAACTGTTGAAGGCATCAACTTGAATTTACTGGCAGATATGTCTCGGCGAGACAGAGTGCATTGTGTTGTTAAAAACAAAATTGATTATAACATTTAATCGTTCTCT